TAAAATCTTTTTAATATTTTCATTTTGATAGTTTATATTCTGAAATTTAAATGAGTGAAAGAAGGAATCAATGTATATTGAATTATTGTATATGTATTCTTTTCTTATATTAATAACTAATCAAAGTATAGCCACTGCTATTGTGATATTGTTATATTGAGGTACACATAACAATCTCAGTAATATAATATAAAATTTATCCTAAAAATAATGATGACGCATTCGATTTTTATTTTATTGAATGAGATAGATATTTAATCCAAAAATATTTGTTTTTTTTTCTCATTATAATGTATATACACATACGTAGATTTATCTGGAAATATCGATATGTATTCGAGAAATTACATTGTATATTATTCTGATATATCCAAAAATATAAGAAGTTCAAGAAATCTATTTCTTTATAAATTTATTACTTAGCTAAATAGCTAAAGTTATTTCAATTAATGATTGAAGAATCAATATTATTAATGTATTCTGTTTCAATGTGATTTACGTAGCCATAGGAATTTTTTATTATGTATGCAATATAACTTATGGTTGAACGAAGAAAAAGAATTACAATGATAATTAAAAATCTCCTTCCAGATATAAGAGAGTAAATAATTTCGGAGAATTAGGAGTTGCCTTGACCGTTTTTTATTGAGTGAATTTAATGTTCTATATAAATCAAATATCTCTATGTTGAGAATTTCAGTTCTGATATTATGCAGCAAACCACGCGTACTATTTTTTTATTTAAAGTGGTAGAAAACAAATTTATTGTTACAAAAATTACGCAAATGGTTGGGAAACAGACAATATCTCTTACATTCTTTTAAAAACTTCAACTTCGACATTGCTCTAATTATCGCATAATTAAAGTTTAGCCAAGATTTTAAATGTTTTAACGTTTCTAAACCAAATCAATGATAAATAAAACTAAAATTAAACCGGTGGTATCTGAACGGATAATTAATCCTATGCATTATAAGGCCACATTCTAATAGCATCATAAGAACACATTCTAAATGAACAGCATACATTTGACTGGGATAACACTAAGATTATGGATCATGAAAAGAATTACCATAAGAAACTAATATCTGAAATGATCCATATTAAAGAACAGAAAAATGGAATTAATTTAAACAAAGACACTGAATTGCTCGACAGTAGTTATTTTGACATACTTAAAAAATTAGCTGAATTATAGTTTAGAAAAACATTGGTAATAAATACAGATATACATCACGCTTTCTACCTTGACATTTGTTACTTAGACTTTGCAACACACATTTGAAATTTCGAGAAGAAGAACTTGTTAACGATAATGTAAGTTGAAAGATTTTTCAATTTTTCTCTGATATTAATCAATTCGCGTAAAATCTCCACAGCATAATTAAATGTCGCAAAACTTGAAATCTCAGACCAATCGTCTTACTCATCCATTGTTCATCAGCGAAAAATCGTTAACTTTGTATTTTAATATTTGAGTTTTATGTATTGAAGAAGACTGTAGTGCAGTCGAAACGTTCACGTTGTATATTATTTCTCTAATGGAATGAAAATTTAATTATTAATAAATCTTTAGATCTTATAAATTTAGCTCGTTTAGTTGGCCTACAATATTTATTTATTTTAATTTCGTATATTTATTAAGTTACTGTAGATATTTCTTTCTCTTATTTTTTTGAGAGCATAAAATTTATATTTGCATTGTAGTATATAATGATATAAAATTTTAATTAATTTGCGTTTGTATTTTATACATATAAAATTGATAACTATTAAGTTTTTTCTCCCAGATAAGATAACTTTACACTATTTTAAATCAAAATTTAGAAACGGAATAGAAAAAGTTACAAATAGTTAATTGTTAAAGGAGAAAATCATTTCGCATAATTTTGTATGCAGTATAGGAAAATTACATATTTTTTCATATGTATATATTTCTGCTGTAATTTTTATATTTCTATAGTTTTAACTTACTTCTTTATTCATAAATATAGAACGCATATTTATTTTATCTTACAAATAGTACAAGAATGTGTATCTATACCATAATTAAAGAAATAGAAAATAAATTATATAAGTTGATTGTAAAAATAAGTTTGACTTTTTAAACGCTCTACTAATATTTAAAACAATAGAAAGAGATTTAGACTTAACTAGTTTATGTGAGTGAACTAATTTAGTGACATGCGACACATTAGCGAAATTTATAGATTTATGGCAGGACATATTTCTATTATCTATTCGAGTTTATATCGAATTTATCTTCTTTCGCTCACCTGAGATCAGTATACCAGTAAGCATCATCATAGATGTAGTATAAAACAATTACCAAATATAAAGTAAGCAGTGACTATGCTGTGATGAAATTATGGAAAGCGGCGAAATCGATCAGTAAAGATGCACAAAACGTATCTATCAATAAAAAGAAAATCAAGAAAGTGGTGGAGGACGTACGTTTCTTTTTAACTGATATTAAATTTATTATTTTGAAAATTCTATACTGATGCAATAATTAATTACAAATTACGAAAGCTTATATTGTTTTGTTCCACCAAATTATATATTGATAAAAGAGAGAGCAAGTTAACGAAAACTAAAGTAAAGGCAATGACGAGAGCAGTAAAATATGAGGAAGAAGCAAGCAAATTAGAGAAAATACTGGTGAAAGAATGTCTGGAGAAGGAGAAAAATTGGGGAGCAGGAAAGGAAGGAAAATGGGCAAAAATGAGAAAGAGAGTCAGGAGGAAGAGAGCCGTCGGCACGCCTTTCTCGTTGGCAGCTCCTGTAACAGATGAAGAACTATTTCTGGTCTCGGTGGGTCAGCAAATACTTACACATGCTGATCCATCGGCCGAAATAGTCCAGAGTCAACCAGGAGGACACAAAATATATATATTTTCGCACAACGTCGCGCACAAAATATATATATTTATATATGCTTCTTTAAATTGTTTGTCTATACTTAAATCAAAAGAGGAGTAATAAAGCTATTTATTTACATTATTGTAAAGTATCATAATTTCCTTATACACAAATAAATACATTATTTTAATACATATATCTTTTAATATCAAATACACTTATCAAAAGAGAAATCTCTTAATGTATTCTTTCTCCAAAAATATAAATGAGTCGATTATTGAGCTATAATATTTATTCAGTAATTACATTTAAAATTTACATTATTTATTGTTAATTAGTTCCTACAATCTTAAATTTACTAGCATACAGAAATTTCCTAATTGAATTAAACAATTTTTATTTTTGCAAGAAAGTTTCGCGCTTTAAATCATTTTATTTATTGTGTCAAGTGTTTATTCATTTGATTATTATATATAATTTGTCACGTGTACGCTAAAAATAGTTTACGACATATAAAAGTGAAATTCTTCAAATTCTTTAAATTCCGTAAGCTATTTTTATTAGGATAAACTTAACAAATCGTAATAGTAATCAATGAATGAACAAATTCATTAACAAATCAATTACTCATATTACAGATCAAAGCAAGTGATAGTAAAAATAACTATACCAAAAGAGTGACTTCTCGGGTCGCGCAGCCCTAAAAAGCCCTAAGCGCTAACGGAAAACTTCTTTACATGTGCAGAATCCTAGATGCGATTTTAGAAATTGAGAATGTGGACTTTGAAATGAAAGAACAAAAGGATGAAAAAAGATTAGACTTTATAGAAACAGGCATAAATTGTACACAACAATTACGAGATTATATGTATCTGATATTATTCATAAACATATGCTGATAAAGATTACTACGAAATCGATAATTTCAAATAATTAGAAAACGTATTTCATTTAGATGAATATTTCATCTAACGTATTTATTCCTAAAATGAGTTTGATCAGATAATATTTAAGCCTGAATATTACATAAAATATTATTTCATTATTAATGAGATTAAAAAATTGCTTAAACTATCTCCATGGTAAGATGTTCGAGAGAATATACATATATTATATATATGTACAGCATCATTAATTTTATAAATTAATATACTTATTGAACAATTAATATGTAAATTTTTTAGAAGAACTGGTTGCAATCTAACTGAAAGATATTGTTACGAAAAAATCTTTCCATAAGTCACAATAAAATAAAATAAAATAAATAAATTCAATTAGATTAAATTAAATAATATAACACAAATATAATAAGGTAAAATATTGTAGAACTAAAAATAGAACTAGATCAAATTGGATCAAACTGTGTCTCAAATACATCTCTCCCTATTTCTTATCTGTTTACATATTCCACGTTGCCTTGCTCTACCCTTCTATCTCCTCTCCTTTTTCTTACTTTTCTCTCCGCTTCTCTGCTATCTCTTTGAATGCTCTCAGACCTTGTCCTTTCTCTCTTAACATCACTTCTATTTCTTGTCTTGTCTCTTTGCATTCTTTGATTACATGCCATAAACTCTCCTTTTCTTTCTTGCATACTCTACACATCATTTCCTCCTCCTTTTTCTAGTATTCTCTTTCTCTTATTTTATTGCTGCATCTGAATCTTGCCACTATCTGTCTGTCTCTCATTTTCATCCTTCTTTTTAGATATTCTGGTTTTTCTTCTTTAATTGTTCTCTTATATTCTTTGTTATATCTGGACTCTTCTATCCTCTTCTTTCTCTCTCTTGCTTCTTTCTCCATTATGCTTCTTATTACTCCTTTTTGTACAATGTCTTCTCCCTCTTCTCTTCTCTTTTTCGTCTCTCAGGCAGGTCATCCTCAGGAAGATCCTCGCTGTTGGTCGACCAAGGGCTGCTCTCCGCGGATAACCATGAGGGACCTTGCCACCAGAGTGGATGGTCCACCAGCTTGCTGGGGTAGTCCCCGGAAGCGCAGTCCGCGGGATTCTCTCGGCCTGGGACGTGATGCCAGTGGGCGTCCGGGATCAGTGTTTGGATCTCGCTGACCCGGTTGGCCACATAGGTGACCCACGACAAGGGGTGTCCACGGATTCAGCCGAGAGTAACGGTGGAATCAGACTACAGATAAAAAGGCGCCTTCTCTGCGCCAATGATAGGTATGGCGTGGGCGACCAGTCGAGCGAGAAGAGTGACGGCAGACAACTCCAACCGAGGTGAGAAGACTTGCTTCAAGGGCGCGACCTTGGTCTTTGCAGTTAAAAGAGTCATCCTTGTTATATCGTTTGTTTGCGTTTTCAGGTAGATGACAGCTGAGTAGGCACGCACGAAGGTATCGGCGAACCCGTGGATCTCTAGCTGTGAGTCAGCCAAGCATTCTAGCCAACAAGGCACGAACAGGTTTTCCAGCGCAGGTAGCTCGCTCTGGAATCGCAGCCATTTCCTCGCCTCGTCCGTTGGCAGCGGCGTGTCCCAGTTGAGGCCTAGCAGCCAGGTAGATTGAATAAAGATTTTTGCCAGCACTGTAGCTGGGGACAGCCAGCCGAGCGGGTCAAACAGTTTGGCTGTCAGCAAGAGAGTACTGACCTTTTTGTGATGGTCGAGAGAGTGATCAGTTGGGTGGTGAAGGAGAAGCGATTGTCACAGGGTTGCCAGCGTAACCCGAAAGTGGAGTGACTCTTGCCGGGCAGTCACCATCTGGCCTCTTGTTGAAGGCGGTCGTCGGGTCCCACGTGATTCAACAGTTGTGAGTGGTTTGCTGACCACTTCTTGAGCGAGAAGCCGCCCGCCTTGCAGATATTAGTCAGCTGTCGCAGCATGGCTTCTGCTTTCTCCATGTTCTCAGCACCGGACAAAATGTCGTCCATGTAGATGTCGCTCCGCAGGATGGTGGCTCCTTTCGGGTAGCGATGCTCTCCGTCCTCGGCCAATTGGCGTAAGGTGCAGATTGCCAGATACGGAGCAGAATAGACCGTAAGTAACAGTGCATAACCAATACTCCTTGACGTCGTTATTATAGTCATCTTTCCACACTATTTATTGCAGGCTTCGGTCTTTAGGGTGCACCAGGATCTGCCGATACATCTTTTCGATGTCGGTCGCAAAGACGTATCAGTGGCGTTGCCAGCGAAGCAAGATGTCGGCCAGCGCGGAAAGCAGATTCGGTCCCGTCAAGAGATAGCGGTTGAGGGAGTCCCGGTTGCATCTTCGGCAGTGCGGTCCGAGAAGCGGGTGCCGGTGTCGCTGCCGAGGTAGAACTGGCTGCTTGCTGGTGGAGTTAGAGAGCGCTCTTCAGGTCGAGCATGAGGCCCTTATTTTGCAGGTAAGCCTTCTCACCTAACGAAGGGATGTCTTGTTTTGCGTAGACATCATTTTGTATTTTCTCGACACGATCCGCCAACGCATTATTAAGAGCGTCAAATTTCTCCCACAGCTTCTCGAGGTTTTAGAGTCTTTGTGTCCGCCATCTCTGATTCTGTCTCTTTTACAGATGCACTGGTCGCCGACACTGCTTCACTACCGCTTCGGTGGCACTGGATACACAGGAGGTTCCGGAGGATCCGGCTCGAAGGACCAAAATAATGTGCGCGACGGAAAGCAGGATAGGGCAGTCGGAAGCGGGACGACAGAAAATTGAGAAAACAAAGAGATGATCTAGAAGGTTCGAGACGAATTCGAAGACGCGAACGGAAGGATATAAATAAACCGGAAAACAATCAGACGACACAGTGCTCGCACGATTTTCATACCAGTAACATTAAATTAAATAATTACTTCAAGTACACAAGAGAGTCTTTATTTCGACTGCTTCATCATTCTCACATACTTTTTATTTACATGTATATTTTAATATTAAATTTCTTATATATATATATATATTATAAATATATATATATATATATAAGAAATTTAATATTAAAATATACATGTACGGACAACAATCCTACTTCAAGTACACAAGAGAGTCTTTATTTCGACTGCTTCATCATTCTCACATACTTTTTATTTACATGTATATTTTAATATTAAATTTCTTATATATATATATATATATATATATATATATGGTATATATATAATGTTTATAAATATGTATATATTATGATAAAATTTTTAGATTGGAATTTAATTACACAAGTTCTTTCTTTTCCGCGATACTAATTGCCTGCCTTGATTTATTGTGTTAATAATTAAATAATGTTTATACTAGTATAATATTATTAACATAAATCAAGGCAGCCAATAGAATGATGGTAGATTTAAGGAAGAAGTATGTATCCTTGAAATTGATTAGTTGTACACAAGACGTAACTCATATAAAAACTTACGTGATACTAAAAAAATTAAATTTAAAACGTTTATTAAACACTTTTGTATTCATTAAAAAATTGATATGTTAAATAGATACTTTCTACGAAATAAATTCTATCTTGAAACTGACACATACACTACCATCTACGTCTGACTCGCATTACACCTTTGAAAATCACATATGATTCATTATGAATTTATTAAATCTTAGTTGTAAGTAATATGAAAAAATAAAAAATAGAGATATTGTACGAAATAATATGTGATCTCGTATGTGTGATGCGAGTTATTTGCTGTCCGTATGATTTTAATCGTATCGTCTCGCCCAACTGTGATGTGACGGGGAAATCCACGTAACACATGCAATTAATTTTAATTCTCAAGATCGAGATTTATTGTTACGGTGCCGAGTAGATCGATGTACAATGTCGTTCTTTCGCTCGCCTATTGTGACTGTTTTATTTGTTATTCGCGCGACTGTTTGAGACGAAGTGTTTTCACGGACACGTCGATGGAGATCATCGAGGCTCATTTTCCCACTCGTCCGTGTTTTTCGGAATACGCCGAATTTGACCGAGATGAGACGAAAACGAAAACAGTGATATCATCGCGAGCGGTGTTCGGCGTAAATTATATAGTTCGTGTATCGAACATCCCGCCCCCCTTGAAGGGCATGCCTTCAACACGTAAATTATTATTCTCGATGCACATGTGGTGTCCTAAATTGAAATATAAATAAAGAATAAATAGCAACATAAATAGAACTTGAAATGACACACTCGCACATCATAATTTACAATAAACAAATTTGTCTCGTCAAATTGTCTCAATAAATTGTTATCTTCATTAACTCGCGATCGATCTACTCGAAGTCAAAATTGATCAAATAAATCATGATTAAAATTTTACAATATGTAACACGCGTTTAATCGGCAGATGCCTCGTCTATCGGAAGGATAGCTAGCTTCGTTAGCGGCCTTGTTAATTGACCCTTTGCGGTCCTTAATGTGGCCGTCCTCGCGATACCGTCAGGGCCCGGATGAAGTTGTTGCACCCTGCCTGTTAACCACTGCAGCGGTCCCAAGCCTGGTTGCTGTACCATGGCGAGCTGACCGATTTTCAATTGCTGGCCCTTGCTAGCTTTCCATTTTTGTCGCTCGATTAGAGTGTGTAGATATTCGGCGCTCCAACGTTTCCAAAAATGTTGCCGAAGCTGTTCTACGCGTTGCCATCGCAGTAGTCGGCTCGGATTTTCCTTCGTAAGATCTGCAACTGGGAAACTGTTTAGCGCTGCACCAATCAAGAAATGTCCCGGCGTAATACAATGCAGATCGTTTGGATCCTCGCTTAACGGCGTCAACGGTCGCGAATTTAAAACCGCTTCTATCTCGCATAACACGGTTTGCATCTCTTCATATGTGAGATTCGCGTTACCTATTATTCGGTTAATGTGAAATTTCGCCGACTTTACGGCCGCCTCCCACAGGCCCCCGACATGTGGAGCGTGGGGTGGTATAAAATGCCAATTGATTTCGTTATCACGCATGAAACGCCGCATTGCAAGCTGCGTGTCGTTGTCGTTAATCAAGTCATACAGCTCCTTTATTTGTTTGCGCGCGCCGACAAACGTAGTGCCGTTATCTGAATATACGCACGCCGGTTTGCCTCTACGTGATATGAAGCGTTTAAAGGCGCCAAGGAACGCTTCCGATGTTAAATCGGTTACAATTTCGAGGTGTACGGCCCTGGTCGAGAAACAAACGAATACCGATATATATGCCTTGTGTAATTTGGCATTACGTCTCTTGCCCTCTTTTAAGAGTATGGGCCCGGCATAGTCTACGCCGCTATGCGTGAACGGTCTCGAAGCCGTCACGCGTTGCGCGGGCAAATCTGCCATTAATGCTTGCGATACAACCGGCTTACACTTGAAGCAGGTTACGCAATTGTAAATTGTTTTTCGAACAGCCGAACGCGCCGCCAGAGGCCAAAATCGTCGACGCATCGCATGCATTGTGGCCTGTAGGCCTGAATGCAAATTTTTTACATGCTCTCGCTGTATGATCAAGGTCGTCAATCGATGACTCTTCGGCAATAGCATGGGATGCCGCGCGTCGTATGGCAATGCTGCATTGCTTATTCGGCCCCCCACTCTAATGATCCCGTGTTCATCCATAAACGGAGTCAATGACAGAATGCGACTTCCGCCGTCAACGCTCCGACCCTCGGTCAACTGTTTATGCTCTCTTGAAAAAGCATGTCTCTGTACGCATCTCACCGCGACTCGCAGAGCTGCTGTTATTTCGTGGTGCGAAATAAACGTTGTTTGATATTTGATCGTACGCGAACGCGCTATTCTCAGGCAGTAAGCGATGATTCGCAATGCCCTGTCTAAAGTGGCATGTTTGTCCAACAAATTTAGTACGATCGATTGTTGTATGGCTATCACCGCTGCGGTTACCCTTTTTTGTTCCGGTAACTCGCCCGACAAGTCGACACATAATTTGACCGGCCAATGTTCCTCAGTTAACTGCAGGAATGCAGGTCCGTTCCACCAAATTGTCGATTGCATTAAGCCCGCCAGGTCGACGCCGCGCGATAATATATCCGCGGGATTGTGAGCGGACGGCACGTGCCGCCAACTCGATCTCCTGGTAAGGCGCTGAATTTCACCGACGCGATTGGCCACGAAAGCGTTCCATTTACGCGACGGCGACGATATCCATTGAATAGTAATTGTGGAATCCGTCCATAAAATTATCTCTAATTTCGATAAATCAATCGATGCGCGAATTTTCTCGATTAAATGTGATAGCAATAACGCGGCATTTAATTCTAGTCGCGGTAACGAAACTGCTCTAATTGGTGCTATTCGTGATTTAGAAATTAAAAGTTCCACCCGGTATCTGTCGGAATCGCGCGTTCTTATGTATACGCACGCGCCGTATGCACGCTCGCTCGCGTCACAAAAGCCGTGTACCTGTGATCTGTGCGTGTCCGTTCGAAATCCGACAAAACGCGGCACACGCAATTTGCAAAGGCGCGTCAATTGTTGCTTTACGTTCAGCCATCGATGATGCAAATCCTGCGGCAACGACTCGTCCCACCCGACGTTAGACTGCCACGTATCTTGCATAATCATTTTTGCCACAACTGTCAGTGGCCCTAATAAACCCAAGGGTCGAAAAGACTCGCGATTTCCGACAAGATCGTCCGTTTCGTTATGCTACTCGTCGGTGCGCCGCAATTGTATCCGAAGCGAAATCCGTCGCTGGACGGATCCCATGCGACTCCCAATATTTTTGAGCTCGATTCATCGCCTAATAACACCTCCGCACTCGTTGTGTCACTAATGCCCTGTAACAGTTCTTGGCAATTCGATGACCATTTGCCGAGCTCAAACTGTCCGCGCTTTAATAAGGCTATCACCTCGTCACGAATGCGCTCCGCTTCGGACAATGTATTGGCGCCCGCGAGTAAATCATCTACATAAAAATCCCGAAGAACGCATTGCGCCCCCGCAGGATAATCGAGGGCATGTTTTTGTGCCAAATGTTGAAGGCATCTCGTTGCGAGAAACGGCGCCGAGCTCGTGCCGTAAGTAACGGTAAGCAACTCGTAAGTACCGACCGGCGAATTCGAGTTCTCGCGCCACAATATTCGTTGCAGATGTAGCTGTGACTCATGGATAAGTATCTGTCGATACATTTTAACTATGTCTGCAGTAAAGACGTACGCGAACGTGCGGAAACGAGTGATAATTGATATTAAATCCTGCTGAACCGTAGGACCTATCATCAAGGCGTCATTCAGAGAAATTCCCGACGTGGTTTTGCACGATGCGTCAAAAACCACACGTAACCTTGCATTCCGGCCGATCCCCTTAAACACCCCATGATGAGGCAGATAAACGGATTCCCTATCGACCGCATGTGCGGGTACGAGTCGCATGTGTCCCAAGGCTAAATATTCGCGTAAAAATTGAACATATGAAGTCCTCATATTTGAGTCACGATGAAGTCGCCTTTCAAGACCGAGGAATCGCTTCATTGCTATTTCGCGCGAGTCTCCCAGCCTTTGCAAAATATCGTTTTTGATGGGCAGCGTCACGATGTATCTGCCCTTGTTATTGTTTGACACGTTGTTTATGAAATGGGTTTCACATGCGCGCTCGTCCTTGGTGTAATGACTCGAATCGCCTAACTCCTCGATCCGCCAAAATCGTTCGATTTGTTCGTGAAGTTTTAAATTGCTAATTGATACGTGAAACGAGTGCAGCCCAGTCTCCGGTCGCGATGCACCGACGCGTGCGCGTCCGCCCACAATCCACCCCAAACGTGTTTTTTGAAGGATCGGATACCCGGAAGTCGCCTGAATCTGCCCCACGCACAACAATCGCCAAAATAGATCGGCGCCTATTAACAAGTCGACGTCCGACGACACGTTGAATCGCGGATCCGCCAACTCGACGCTGGAAGGCAGTTTGAATTTTTCACGTTTAATAGTGTTTAACGGAAGCTTGTCCCTTATGATTCGCTCCGCCACGATGCACTCGATCTCAGCCGCGAATGAATTGAATCGCGATTGTAGTTTGATGTCTACGTTTTCGTTCGAAATAGATGTGTCACCGTATATGCCTGACACCGAGAAATTTACGGATTGCGGTTTTAAACCCAACAACTTTACATATTTGGTTGTCACGAAATTCACCTGTGACCCTGAGTCCAACAGAGCACGGCATGTCCTGCGAGCACCGTTCGCATCGTATAAATAAACGATCGCCGTCGAGAGCAACACCTCCGTATCGCTTCGCTCGACCGCGCTGTGAGTCGCGACGGCCGATCGCCCGTCCGCGATCGGCGACGAGTCGATCGGCACCGACGACGCGCCCGCGTTATTTATCTCTCTCTCATTCTTGGGTATATGCAATAACGTATTATGTTTTAAATTGCACGTTCTGCAACTGCCAGAAGGGCATTTGGTTGCAATGTGATTTTGACTACGCAAACAGTTGAGGCACATTCTCCTGCTACGCATTTCCGCGATTCGCTGGCTGATTGGCAGTTTCAAGAATTCCTTGCAAAAATAAATTAAATGCTCGCCGGCGCAATAATTGCACTTGCCCCTCTCGACAGTCGTGTGCAATGCTTGACGTCCAACGTTAGAACGCGATTGCGATCGAGAGTCGGAGCGAACGGACGAGATCGAACTCTTTCTCGCGGATTCTTCCAGAATCTGACTGCGATGTGAAAGAAAGGTAATTAGCTCCTTAAATGTGGGCAATTCAGAGCCCTGCAACGAAGCATGCCACTCACGCGACGTAATTGCGTCTAATTTAGACGTTATAATATGAATAAGCAAAGCATCCCATTTATCGGCATTACAATTTAATGCCGTTAACGCGCGAATATGTATCGATGCCCCGTCAGCTAATTGCCGAAGGTCGATCGCATTTTCCTTTGTTATAACTGGCAATTCAAATATTGCCCGCACATGAGTTTGTATAATCACGCGTTTGTTATCGTATCGTTCTTTTAAGAGGCTCCACGCAAGGTCATAATTGTTTCCAGAAATTTCTAAAGGTTTCACAATGTCGAGTGCCTTGTCCGTTAACGATGCCCGTAAATATTGAAACCGTTGAACATCGCTCAACGACGTGTTATTTTGAATTATCGTTATAAAAGTATCTCGAAACGGAAACCAATCTTCGTATTTTCCCGAAAAAATTGGCAAATTAATTTTTGGCAATCGTACATGAGATATAGCCTCGCTCTCGACTCTTGTCGAACTCTGCGTGGAACCTCTTCGCGCGCTCGATTGATGGTCGCATTGTAAAAGTCGGCGAAATCGCGCACATAATGCATAAAATGAATCTTCGAACTCGATTCTATCGTTTGACTCCTCCGCGTCGATCATTTCAATTTGCGTTTGTATTTTACAATAATCCTCCCAGAACGATTCTAGACGGGTTTGACGAATTTCTACCTGCGCTCGGGTATCGTCGGTTAATGTGACTATATTGTTTAAAAAAGTCTCCATACGCGTGCATGAGCCCTTAACCATTCCGCGCCGTCGTTTGTAATCGGCTAAATTAGACGATGCACGAGGCGTCTCTGCGCTGGACGAGCCCGCCGCTGGGCTATGACCGAGAGGCATAATTTCAAAATCGCGTGATCCAAACTTGAATACGTAATAATTGATTGGTGCAGATAAACAGACTTACCAGTCACGTCGTCACCTTACTTGCGTCTATGTGCCACGTTACTGCTCGGGATGCTGCTCCGAATCCGGAATCGTCCTCAGCGATCCGCGAATATGTATCGCAATGCAACCCGACGCCCGGCAGCATGCGCCTTATTTACTTCCTTCCTAGTCAAATTGTCTGCCTTGTAGACGAACGAACTTCCTCGTGCCCGTTGCACCTTTGCTTCGACCTTATCACTCGTATACACCGTCTTTTCAGAATAATATTATCCGGCTCGAAGGACCAATAATTTGTACGAAATAATATGTGATCTCGTATGTGTGATGCGAGTTATTTGCTGTCCGTAATGATTTTAATCGTATCGTCTCGCCCAACTGTGATGTGACGGGGAAATCCACGTAACACATGCAATTAATTTTAATTCTCAAGATCGAGATTTATTGTTACGGTGCCGAGTAGATCGATGTACAATGTCGTTCTTTCGCTCGCCTATTGTGACTGTTTTATTTGTTATTCGCGCGACTGTTTGAGACGAAGTGTTTTCACGGACACGTCGATGGAGATCATCGAGGCTCATTTTCCCACTCGTCCGTGTTTTTCGGAATACGCCGAATTTGACCGAGATGAGACGAAAACGAAAACAGTGATATCATCGCGAGCGGTGTTCGGCGTAAATTATATAGTTCGTGTATCGAACAGATATGTTATTTTAATGTTAATGAAAATATTTTAATAAAATTAATATTTTTTTTTTTAATTTGATGAGTTTACATGTGTATAATAATATATTATTTTTCTAATAAACTATAATAAAATATAATACACATTACAAATAGAATATTGTACACATTTTGCACATATGTATACGCAGCGTCCACATAATGCACTTCTTTTCGTGCTTATTTCAATATATTAAGGATAACATTTTCTGACGTTAAATGCGCTATACTTTATTGTGAAGACATTCAATTAATATTTTATACTACTATTGTAAATTTTTTGCTTAGAAAATTTGTTTTTATAATCTTGATACCACATCAATTCTACTCTTTTTTTCTTATATTATATGTTTAATTTACATTTTATTATTTTTTTATCTATTGTTTTTCTTTATGTCTTTTTTTATTAAATATTTCCTTTTACCACCGACCGAACGGGCTTTCAATAGCATAAAAGTGATCTTCCGGTCATCTGATCTATTTGGACCCTAGCACATTCGCTCGGCCTCAAACAAAACGCATCGGTTAGCGTTGTTTGAGACAAGTAGTTACGTCCTTTCTTTTGCCTTTCCTTGTGAGTCTGAACGTAATAAAACATTTGCATTGCGAGAAATATTTAAATCACTATTCGATAAATCGGCGTTAAAATTACGTGATTTTGTAATAATGTATTTAAACTTACAAAGTGAAATAAAAATTACTGCTTCTGCCATGCTAATTTATACAAAGACAAGCTACTGCAAGCTCCGTGTATCGTGTGTCCCGATTAAAATCTTGAAATTGTGAATATTAACAAATTGAATGTATTACTTGATTTAGTGAAAAAGGAACAAATATATTAATTACAGGGTTTGTCCGGAAAGTAATGCGTCGCATTTTTTTGTGACGCGACTATACATCGCAGAGCGATGGGACCGGTTGGGGAGGAAGGGGGGGTACCCTTAGCTTTCCAACGGTAGGTCGCTCAATTGTTTCCATGCGCTTGGAGGGTTAGGACGGCTTATTCTGTGAACCTCTGCTTAGTGGTCGCGTCGAACTTGTGATGGAGAGAACGATAGAGCAACGCTATGCGATAAAGTTTTGCGTGAAGCTGGACAAGACGCCGCTGGAAACTTTTGAAATGCTCAAGAAAGTTTTCGGGGACGATTGCCTTTCCAAATCGCAGTCAAACAGATGGCACAAGATGTTTAGAGAAGGTCGGAAGGAGGTCGCCGACGAGGCCCGCGCAGGACGCCCGTCAACATCGCGAACGGACGACAATGTGACTCGTGTGCGCCAATTATTGAATTCAGACCGTCGAATGAATGTTCGCTTAATGTCGGAATTATTGAACTTGCCGAAAACGATTGTTCACGAGATTGTATCGGAAGACTTGGCCATGCGGAAGATTTGCGCAAAACTTGTGCCCAGAGTGTTGACCGATGCGCAAAAGCAACACCGAGTGGAAGTTTGTGAAGAACTCAAGCAACTCTGTGCAGATAATCCCAATTTCCTGAACAACGTTATCACTGGGGATGAGTCATGGGTCTTTCAGTACGATCCGGAGTCAAAGAGGCAGAGTGCGGAATGGCACACGACGTACAAGCTACTTCGACGGCCTCCCTGAACAGCATCCCAGTCAAGGAGTTCCAGAAATCTTATGACGCATGGAAATCGCGTTGGCAAAAATGTATTGACGCAGAAGGGTCATACTTCGAACAATTTTAAGTTGTTTTACCTATGCGATCAATAAATTCTTTTTTAAAAAAATGCGACGCATTACTTTCCGGACAAACCCTGTATATGAAGATATCTAGTATCATTGTGTACTTTCCAATTGGTTATCGATGATTCTGCGGAAAAAACTTGTTAATTAAAACATTGCTCAAAAAAATATTTTCAGAATTTCTAAAAAAACTCTGAAACAAATTTCAAAGAAGTCTACGAACAGAATATTTATTAATTTAATAGAATATTTATTAATTTAACTATACTAACTACTAATTTATTATTTATTAATTATTTATTAATCATTCCTTTATTAATAATTAATTCGCTTAAAAATTCAAATTTATAATTAATTATAATCAACATACAAGGTGTCCGATGACTTGCGTTTAACAGAGATTTCTGAGGCGATTTGGAGATGATCTTTCCTCAGCGAAAATGTCCAGGCACCAATATTTTTGAGTTATAAATGATTGAAAATAAGAGATTTTTTGTAAAGTAAGCCTTGTAAAAATAAATTATTAACAAAACTACATTTTTTAGTTAATTTCAGGTAAGGTTTACTGTAATAAAATTTTAATTTAAGGCTTAGTTACATAGATACATGATTTCAAAAATCGGGAACATTAAAAAAATGATGATCTTTCTCATCATTTTCGCTGAAGAAAAATCGTCTTCAAATCGCCTCAAGAATCTCTCATTAACGTGTAAAACGCGAGTCACCGGATACTCGGTATAATAACACTAGATATATAAGTGATGAATATTTGCGTTATTCTTAATAATAAAGAAAAATATTAATACTTTTTTAAAAATTATTTATTACTATTATATAAAAGTACACATGCATTTAAAACAGTACACTCGATTATATTTATGACAAACATAAAAATTACTTCTAATTTATGCAAAATAACTTGTGCCAATAACTAAAATAACTAAAATAAAAAAAGTCTCGTTAAGATGGCTATTTAGAGCATATGGCGCAGTAAACAGGGCGCATTTATGAATATAATGATTTATTAAATCGTATAAAATTAGCGAACGTTTCGGCTCATATTCGAGCCTTCTTCAGCGCAGGATAATTTACAATAAGCCGGTATACAAAAATTATTAAGGAGTTTTGTATTTAGTCTTCTGGCACACAAAAAGTTTTTTTTTTCTTTTTAAAGTTTTTTTCTGCCTGCGCTGCGACGTGATTTGGAAGTCTTGTGAAAAATTGAAGAGAAAATCTAATCCTGCAAAAAAACAATCAATTATCTTTTCTTAATTATCTCCGAATGTCAAGGCAAGGAATTATTAAGAATGTTTCTATGGATATTACTGAGGAAAAATTAACAATTGTCTGTTCCTTGATATCGCCAATGCCAGGAGACTAAATACAGAACTCCTTAAAAAAATTATTCCTTGGAATCTGATTCTATGAAGTACCCCAGCAAACACCGATATATAATTGTTACATTGCTATAATAATACGAAATATAACAGGTAATATAACGTGTACGTTACATGTAACATCCATGTTAGTTGTAATTTCCCACTCATAGATGTAATATTTTAATATAACATATATTACATTGTAGTTATATTGTAATTATATACCAAATAGCACATTGATGTATTGATAAGTCAGTGCTATCTAAAGATATAATGACAATATAACTACAATGTAATATATGTAATATTAAAAATGTTACATCTATGAGTGGGAAATTACAACTAACATATACGTTACATGTAACATGCTTAAGTATATAATATTTATATACTGCGTTTGCTGAGACATTTCTTTAAAGACTATTTCTGGGGGTTTTTGATTGTTTACTGATTGGTGCCAAATAGTGCCTTCAACCTCAAAGACTGTTTCTACATTTTCAAAGATGCTGGAACATACTTTCAACAATTTGATAGTTGGATGAGACTTCAAGTATATAAACTCACATAATGCGTTACTCTCTTACATACGGTTAGAGGTCTATATCTATGTTTATTTCAAATAATTTTTGTATACCGGCTTATTGTAAATTATCCCGCGCTGAAGAAGGCTCGAATATTTGAGAAAATTGAATCTATTCAACTTTAGAGTTCGACTTATTTAATTTAAAATAAAACGTCCTCTTCCATTATTATTTTACCGTCTATTTTAAGGAAATAATATAATAAATTATATCGCAATTAAATTATATACTATCATTATTTTGAATTTGCTCCTTGATATTTCATATACGACAAATATATAGTAAATTATATCCTGAAAAGTGTGAATTTTGAGGACTACAGTAAAATAAAGTATAATATGAACGTTAATAATTCATCTATCGCAACATAGTTGTTCAATTGTAATTATCATATTATCATCTAAATTTAATAAAAGAGTTTTAACAAGGCTCTGTAATATAAATATAAATTTAACGTATAAGACGGGCAACAAGAGCCAAATCGCGGATGACAATGCGTTATCCTAACGAAACTAAATAATTTTCCGTTAGAATTAAATACCGGTGCACAAGGCACCAAATTTTACTTGGACACGGCCAAGATTTTAAAATATGAAATAATCTCATATTTGAGATTTAATTTCAATACCCCTTTTTAACCCCCCTACGGAAAATAAATAAATGAATGCAAGAGAAAAATATAGATCCGAAAATCGCTGAATCGGGAATCGAACCCGAGACCTTTCGCTTGCCGGGCGACTGCTCTTCCAGCTGAGCTATTCAGATCTTTTCGATTCTATACTTTTCTCTGTTATATATATTAATGTTGGTAAACAAACGCATTTTTAAGCCAGCGTGTATCAATATAAGAGTTTTAACAAGGCTCTGTAATATAAATATAAATTTAACGTATAAGACGGGCAACAAGAGCCAAATCGCGGATGACAATGCGTTATCCTAACAAAACTAAATAATTTTCCGTTAGAATTAAATACCGGTGCACAAGGCACCAAATTTTACTTGGACACGGCCAAGATTTTAAATATGAAATAATCTCATATTTGAGATTTAATTTCAATACCCCTTTTTAACCCCCCTACGGAAAATAAATAAATGAATGCAAGAGAAAAATATAGATCCGAAAATCGCTGAATCGGGAATCGAACCCGAGACCTTTCGCTTGCCGGGCGACTGCTCTTCCAGCTGAGCTATTCAGATCTTTTCGATTCTATACTTTTCTCTGTTATATATATTAATGTTGGTAAACAAACGCATTTTTAAGCCAGCGTGTATCAATATAAGAGTTTTAACAAGGCTCTGTAATATAAATATAAATTTAACGTATAAGACGGGCAACAAGAGCCAAATCGCGGATGACAATGCGTTATCCTAACAAAACTAAATAATTTTCCGTTAGAATTAAATACCGGTGCACAAGGCACCAAATTTTACTTGGACACGGCCAAGATTTTAAAATATGAAATAATCTCATATTTGAGATTTATTTCAATACCCCCTTTAACCCCCCTACGGAAAATAAAATAAATGAATGCAAGCTCAATACATGTTTGATGTCCAACATTTCGAACAACTTGGCCGTGTCCAAGTAAAATTTGGTGCCTTGTGCACCGGTATTTAATTCTAACGGAAAATTATTTAGTTTCGTTAGGATAACGCATTGTCATCCGCGATTTGGCTCTTGTTGCCCGTCTTATACGTTAAATTTAATAACACAAAAATTTATACTAATTTCAAATATTTTTAACACGTAATGTTCCTACAAAATTTTGCTTTTACAATTATTATTTATAATTTTTATATTATGACGCATTGACACTTACAAACTATTAAAAATACTTTACAAGATTATTAATAAGTTTCGCTGTACTACTTTGTTTTCACAATATTTCAAACAGAAACTGAAGAAGACGTCACCTAACAATTTTTATTGACAACGCCAGTAAAAAGATACTTCTTTTAATGTTGCTATATAGCAACCAGACAAATGATTTTTTGCACTGATTGTGAGTGCAATTGCTAGGTTCCTGAAGTGATGTAAGAGACCCTCTGGATTTGGTAAAGAATACATTATTTGCATTAGCAGTAGCGTTCTTTAATGTGAACTTGATATATGCACGATGATATGCACCGCCGAGATGCAGATTTTCTTCAGTAAAACCAAACAGTCTGGCATTCTCGGGGCTCAATACATGTTTGATGTCCAACATTTCGAACAACTGATCGATCGGCAATTCGTACTCCAATTCGAAGACATCGGGATATATCGTATATTGTTCCGGCAACATTTCTTTTAGTTCTGAGTTAGTTAGCATGTTACAAAACGTATGGACTCCTTCTTCAGTTGTCAATCTTTCGACCAATCCAGAAATGTCTTCACCAATTGTATACTTATCAGCTATTATATCTTCCTGCACAGCAGGAAATAACATGATCATACACGTCCCGTTTACAAACACTATCTTAGTCATGAACATGCTTAGTTCGTGAGATATGTCTGAAAGAATTGAGATTATAGAGAAAAAAGGAGGTAAAAGTTAATGGAAGCGGAATTAGATTATTGCATACACTATCTTAATTTTACATCAACAATTGTTAAAAATTCATATAATGCTTCTTGCACTCTCAAGTAAAAATGTATTTACATAATCACATTTTGATCAAATATTGAAAATTTACAAAGAATATATAGAAATACATAAAATTAGAGAAATGTACGTGCGTGTGCGTGTACTATGTTTAATTTTAAACAACTGTAGAAAATGTTTTATCATACTAAAATGTTTACTAGATTAAAGTTATTATTATAAATTGTTATATTAAAGGTTATTTATAAAATAAAATATTACAAAGTATATATTATTAATGTTTTATGTTTTATAAAAATAATAGTATAAATATTCATTAACATTAACTGAATATTTATATTATTATTAAATTAGTATACATTTTTATCTTGAGAGTACAAGAAACATTATATAAATTTATAACAATCGTTGATGTAAAACATTTTCATTAAATAGAATTTTATTAGAGAGCTTTTAAATATATATACAAATGTAAAATATAATTAAAATGAGACATACTTACAGGTTCCTTTATATTTTGTCTCAACAAAACGGTTGTCTTTAAACCAGAGACCATACGAAAGAATCAATTCCATATTGTTATTGATTGTGTTAAATATCACAGGTTGAAAGATGTAAGCCTGCATCTCGCTTTTTAATTCTTCGTTAATATCATTTATTACTTTATACATATTGGAACAATTAAACAATTTGTAGTTTTCAGGAGTTATGTACTTATTGTTTTTATAAAGTTTGGTGTCATTAATCCAACAACTATGCTTCGTGCAAAAACACTTTTTCATCCCTGTAACCTGGAACTATAAATGACATATATAAAACGATTTTTGAAATTCTTTTCTTTTTTAAATCAAAGATTTTAACTTTAATTATAGATTACATAAATTTATTTATAAAAGTAGAATGTTATGTTATATACAATATTATTTTACATAATCATTTTCATAATATTTTAGTGTAATATTATTTAATATAATATTATGTAACATTTTAATATTACAAAATCCTAATCTTATTGAGATGTTATATATATTTATATATATATTTTAGCTTGAAATATTTTGATTAATGAAGCAGTAATATAATATTTTATGTTTAAATACAAATTATTGTTTAAAAATTGCTTAATGACATAATTAAATTAAATGTAAAACATTTGATTTTCTGTTTCTCTTAAAAATGCATTGGTAATTTCGGTTAATATTTTCCGCTTAAAAATTTATTTAATATATTATTATAATTATTATATATATATATATATATATATATATATATATATAATTTTTGTTTAGTCTCAATCGATTACGTAATTTTATACAAAGCGATCTACCAAACAAAAAAAGTAAGAATGATCTGAGTTTTGTTGTGTTATAATATTATATAAATATTTTAATATTTATTGATCACGTATTAAAATAGGTCAAAATACATATGTTGTGCAAAAATGTTCCTACAAGAATTGTTAAATTTCTATAATTCTGAGATGAGTCGTTGATAAAAATTTTGAATTTTGATTTTCAATATGTTGAATATAAATCAGGCGCAAATATTTTTACCATTTTTTGTTCTTTTTCTTCACTATTCTATCTAATGCCCAGAATTTTGTTCCAAGATGTATCGGTAATTTGAGAATACTTTTCAATTGTTCTTTGTTTCATCGCTGGATGCACGATAAACCATTAAAAGTCCCTCATATAAGCTATTCGAACTGAAGACAAAATCATTCCATGGCATTATGCGAATCATTTTTTGCAGACATTTCAAGGTAAATTCGATACGTTCGGTCCGAGCTGTTGATAAACATGCAAGACGAAAATGTGATAAATAAGCTGAACTAACAAAGGCAGTAAATAGAGATATTACAAGTAGAAAGTTATAATTTATTCTACAATATTTCATCAAAATCAAATTAAATTCAATATATATACTACTTGATTGGCGTTGAATTTATTCGCGAAAGTAATTTGCAAGACAATGGTTTGTTTTCTAACAAATCTTAATTTAATTTTAAATTTGTTTAATATACGATCAAAATTAGCAACAATGTATATCTTGAAAAGTTATTTAGATTTTTTGAGGAGAATATAAATAAGTTGCAATATTAATGGAAAAAGTATGCAATAGAATGTATTTTATAATTTTTTCTCACTTTAGTCAAATATTTTTATAATAATGTAAATTTTATTATGAAATTGATAATCCTTATCTGAAAATAGTCTAAAATTTTTTTATTTCTTTTTCACATGGCGCATGGACTTGGCATCTTGTTTATCTTTTTTTTTAAAGATAAGTTTTTTTATGGTACGATTCTACATTTGCAAATTTAAATTTTTACTGATTCATTATACGACTCTATATATGTCTGCAACTTTAATTTTCCACTGGTACAAGTTTCTACTTTCACTTGGCGCAATTTTTTTTTTATTTTATTACTTTTGTTACGATTGTACATGGGTTTATAATCGATAATTTTTCATACAATTCTATTGTACATGGGTTTGCAATGTAGGATTCTACATAAGTTTGCAATGGATAATTTTTAATACAATTCTACATGGGTTTGCAATGGTTAATTTTTCATAGGATTCTACATGAGTTTGCAATGGTTAATTTTTCATAGGATTCTACATAGGTTTGCAATGGGTACGATTCTACATGGGTTTGCAATGGTTAATTTTGCCTAGGATTCTACATGGGTTTGCAATGATTAATTTTTCATAGGATTCTACATGGGTTTGCAATAGGATAGGATTCTACATGGGTTTGCAATGGATAATTTTTGTTAATGGCGTGCCCTTAACTGGTCGCCTTTTTTTACCTTTTTTTAAAGGTGAGTTTTTAGAGATTATATCATTCATTTTTGTATATTTTTATGACCGGAATAGAACAATTATTAAACATGTTTATCTAAACTTCTTTGCTTAAAATGATGTGTACAATCATATCCTAGAATCCTGATCATTCCTCCTAAAGCACCCTATTTATATAAATTTACCCATATGTGTGTGTGTGTGTGTGTGTACTAATGTCGAGCATTTTTTATACATTTTCTATTAAATTTAGATAAAAGTTGCAGGATTTCGAAAAAGAAAAAGTTGACACTTTTTCCTAAACGGCGATTTTCAAGGTTATTTAAAGGTCACTTATATTTTCAAAATAGAATTACCTTAATTTTTCTCATATAAATCGATTCCTCGCAATATTTACTATAAAAAGTTGTAAAGGTATAATTTTTACATAATCTTACATAAACTTCGAAATATTACAAATATTTTATTCTATGAAATATTTCAGTTTATGTAAAATTATGTTAACTATCTTTTAAATTATTCACTTTTAGCCATCTTACCCTTACAACCTTTTATAGTGAATATTGCAACAAATTGGTTTATATATATAATATATATAACATCAGTTATTATTAATTGATGTTTACATTTATTTTTAGACTTACTAGAGCTCAAATGCTCCACATTTTTTGCAAAAACTGTTTATTCTACAGATTTCAAATATGCTTTTAAATGATGATTGAATATTTCCTTTTTTTAATTATTTTTATTATTATTTTTCAATCTCAATCAACTTTTATAACTTTATGCCAGCACGATACAAATACATGTGTCTTTATTTTTTTTATTATTTTCATTATTATTTTTCAATCTCAATCAACTTCTATAACCTTATGCCAGCAGGATACAAATACATGTATGTCTTTATTATTGTATCAACTCTTGTCTTTTCCATGTAACCATGTCTTCATAGTTTGAATTATCCCTTCATCTTCTCAATCTTTCGCAGAGATTTAATTAATTAAATACACTTCACACGAAATAAAGTTTGCTGGAAGATATACAGCAAACGATAACTGTAAAAACATGATTACGTGGAAAGAACAAGAGTTGGTACAGTAAAGGCAAGTAAGTAAGTACATGTAATGTATCGTATTGGCATAACGCTATATCCGCGGAGCAGATAATGTGGCTGTAGAGGTAGTCTGCAGTGCAGCTAATGTGGACGTAGATGTTGATTGAGATAATTGTCTAATATAAAATAGAATTTAAAAATTTAGTTTAAAAAGCTGTTGCATATATAAATAAAGTTTATTTTTTCTAAATTTGGAATATGTTTAATTAATTAATTTTTTAAGTCTATGTTTAATAAATTTTTAAGTCTGTATTCAATAATTTTATTCATTTGATAAATACATGTATGTCTTTATTTTGATATGTTTAATATAATTAGAAATTCATTATTAATTAGATATGTAAACTATAAATTCATATATAATATTTGAAAATATATGTGAATATTTAAATTTTTATCTTCTCCTTCCTCTCCTTCAATCTCTTTAATATCAATATGTGTATGTGTGTACACGCGCGCACATTTGTACGTATTTATTTAATTATTGGATAGTTGAGAGTACTTAATTGATAAAAAATTATGACAATAATAATCCTTGTTTTTTTTTCTTATTATTTACTCAGATTTTTTTGTCTATCTTATAAGATAAACACTTTAGAGATTGAATATTTCAAGTAAACTAATTGTAAGTAAATTTCACATTAATGCATATAGATGTTTAATCATGAATGTACTAAATAAGTACACAAGACGAACAGTGAGTGAGTGAGTGAGAATGAGAGAGTGTGTGTGTGTGTGCGTGTGTGTGTGAGAAGAGAGAGAGAGAGAGAGAGAGAGAGAGAGAGAGAGAGAGAGAGAGAGAGAGAGAGAGAGAGAGAGAGAGAGAGAGAGAGAGAGAGAGAGAGAGAGAGAGTAACCACATAACCCCGCACGCTGCCGATCATGAATGTACTAAATAAGTACACAGACGAACAGTGAGTGGTGAGTGAGAATGAAGAGTGTGTGTGTGCGGTGGTGTGAGAAAGAGAGAGAGAGAGAGAGAGATAGAGAGAGAGAGAAGAGAAGAGAGAGAGAGACGAGAGATGAGAGAGAGAGAGAGAGAGAGAGATGTAGAGAGAAGACGACGAGAGAGAGAGAGAGAGAGAGAGAGAGAGAGAGAGAGAGAGAGAGAGAAGAGAGAGAGAGAGCAGAGAGAGAGAGAGAGAGAGAGGACGATGAGAGAGAAGAGAGGAGAGAGATGAGGAGAGGAGGAGAGAGGAGAGAGAGCGAGAGATGAGAGACGAGAGAGAGAAGGATGAGAGAGAGAAGAGTTAGCCAACATAACCCCGCCGCTGCGATATGGCGGAGCGCCACTATCGCCATCTGTTGTAAACGTGCGAGATGGACAAAATTACCACTACATGCATCTTGCATGTGTTGTGTACGTGTGATATATGTGTGCGCATGTGTTGTATACGTGTGAATACGTGTAGCACGATACTACTATGTATGCGTGGTCGATGATGATAATGATGATAATAATAATGATGACGGGGACGTTTCTTAATAGAAATTTTTCATATTTCGACTTTGCATTTACATATCTCTGCTTACGAATCACGTAGAGCAAAAATAAAGACACTTTTATTATATAATTCGAACTCAATCTATCGATTAAGTCTAGTATAAACTCGATTGCTTCAGCCATTATTGAGGATTCGAAATATTATAAAGACTCAAATGTCCGACTCGCGTTAAGATACACGGTGTCTCCGCTACGCCCTTAACTGGTCGCGAGACACTACCGTGTCTCTTGATTCCAATATATACAGTATCTATTGTTCACATTTATTATATCGCAACGTAGACCAAGTCTCTTGGCCACGCTTTGATATATTATAAATTTAATTATATTGTAATTGCAATGCATAATTTATGCCATTTTCTATAAAGGCTACATTTCTTTTAATCTTCAGTTCTCTCTCTTTCTCTGCGTCCTCTACAGCCTCATTTCTCTCATACTGTGCGTCGTAATAATTCTTCGCATCAGGCCATCTAAAAAATCAAATAAAAAATAATTTAATAATACTTTAAAAATTCTACTATACAATGCGATTGCATAAGTGATAAATTTTCGAAGGAATAAAGTTTTCACAAAGCATAATATACACTCCCAGCAAACACCAATATATAATTGTTACATTGCTATAATAAAACGGAATATAACAGATAATATAACGTGTACGTTACATGAAACATCCATGTTAGTTGTAATTTTCCACTCATAGATGTAACATTTATATAACATATATTATTGTAGTTATATTGTAATTATATATCAAATAGCACATTGATGTATTGATAAGTCAGTGCTATCTTGGGATATAATGACAATATAACTACAATGTAATATATGTAATATTAAAAATGTTACATCTATGAGTGGGAAATTACAACTAACATATACGTTACATGAAACACGCTTATGTATATAACATTTATATACTGCGTTTGCTGAGACATTCTTTAAAGACTATTTCTGGGGGTTTTTGATTGTTTACTGATTGGTGCCAAATAGTGCCTTCAACCTCAAAGACTGTTTCTACATTTTCAAAGATGCTGGAACATACTTTCAACAATTTGATAGTTGGATGAGACTTCAAGTACATAAAACTCACATAATGCGTTACTCTCTTACATACGGTTAGAGGTCTATATCTATGTTTATTTCAAATAATTTTTGTATACCGGCTTATTGTAATTAATCCCGCGCTGAAGAAGGCTCGAATATTTGAGAAAATTGAATCTATTCAACTTTAGAGTTCGACTTATTTAATTTAAATAAAACGTCCTTTCTCATTATTATTTCACCGTCTATTTTAAGGAAATAATATAATAAATTATATCGCAATTAAATTATATCATTATTTTGAATTTGCTCCTTGATATTTCATATACGACAAATATATAGTAAATTATATCCTGCCAAGTGTAAATTTTGAGGACTACAGTAAAATAAAGTATAATATGAACGTTAATAATTCATTTATCGCAAACACAGTTGTTAAATTGTAATTATCATATTATCATCTAAATTTAATAACACAAAAATTTCATACTAATTTCAAATATTTTTAACACGTAATGTTCCTACAAAATTTTGCTTTTACAATTATTATTTATAATTTTTATATTATGACGCATTGACACTTACAAACTATTAAAAATACTTTACAAGATTATTAATAAGTTTCGATGTACTACTTTGTTTTCACAATATTTCAAACAGAAACTGAAGAAGTCACTTAACAATTTTTATTGACAACGCCAGTAAAAAGGATACTTCTTTTAGAGTCGCTATATATCAACCAGACAAAAGATTTTTTGCACTGATTGTGAGTGCAATTGCTAGGTTCCTGAAGTGATGTAAGGGACCCTCCGGATTCGGTAAAGAATACATTAATTGCATTAGCAGTAGCGTTCTTTAATGTGAACTTGATATATGCACGATGATATGCACCGCCGAGATGCAGATTTTCTTCAGTAAAACCAAACAGTCTGGCATTCTCGGGGCTCAATACATGTTTGATGTCCAACATTTCGAACAACTGATCGATCGGCAATTCGTACTCCAATTCGAAGACATCGAGATATATCGTATATTCTTCCGGCAACATTTCTTTTAGTTCTATCTCAGTTAGCATGTTACAAAACGTATGGACTCCTTCTTCAGTTGTCAATCTTTCGACCAATCCAGAAATGTCTTCACCAATTGTATATTTATCAGCTATTATATCTTCCTGCACAGCAGGAAATAACATGAACATACACATCCCGTTTACAAACACTATCTTAGTCATGAACATGCTTAGTTCGTGAGATATGTCTGAAAAAATTGAGATTATAGAGAAAAAAGGAGGTAAAAGTTAATGGAAGCGGAATTAGGTTATTGCATACACTATCTTAATTTTACATCAACAATTGTTAAAAATTCATATAATGCTTCTTGCACTCTCAAATAAAAATGTATTTACATAATCACATTTTGATCAAATATTGAAAATTTAGAAAGAATATATGGAAATACATAAAAATTAGAGAAATGTACGTGCGTGTGCGTGTAATTATGTTTAATTTTAAACAATGTAGAGAAAATGTTTTATCATACTAAAATGTTTACTAGATTAAAATTATTATTATAAATTGTTATATTAAACGTCATTTATAAAATAAAATATTACAAAGTATATATTATTAATATTTTATATTTTATAAAAATAATAGTATAAATATTCATTAACATTAACTGAATATTTATATTATTATTGAAGTAGTATACATTTTTATCTTGAGAGTACAAGAAACATTATATAAATTTATAACAATCGTTGATGTAAAACATTTTCATTAAATAGAATTTCATTAGAGAGCTTTCAAATATATATACAAATGTAAAATAAAATTAAAATGTAACATATTTACAGGTTCTTTTATATTGTGTCTCAACAAAACGGTTTTCTTTAAACCAAAGACCATACGAAAGAATCAATTCCATATTGTTATTGATTGTGTTAAATATCACAGGTTGAGGGATGTAAGCCTGCATCTCGCTTTTCAATCTTCGTTAATATCATTTATTACTTTATACATATCGGAACAATTAAACAATTTGTAGTTTTCAGGAGTTATGTACTTATTGTTTTATAAAGTTTGGTTCATTAATCCAACAACTATGCTTAGTGCAAAAACACTCTTTCATTCCTGTAACCTGAAACTATAAATGACATATATAAAACGATTTTTGAAATACTTTTCTTTTTAAATCAAAGATTTTAACTTTAATTGTAGATTACATAAATTTATTTATAAAAGTAGAATTTTATGTTATATACAATATTATTTTACATAATCATTTTCATAATATTTTAGTGTAATATTATTTAATATAATATTATGTAACATTTTAATATTACAAAATCCTTATCTTATTGAGATGTTATATATATATATATATATATTTTTTAGCTTGAAATATTTTGATTAATGAAGCAGTAATTATAATATTTTATATTTAAATACAAATTATTGTTTAAAAATTGCTTAATGACAAGATTAAATTAAATGTAAAACATTTGATTTTCTGTTTCTCTTAAAAATGCATTCGTAATATCGGTTAATATTTTCCGTTAAAAAATTTATTTAATAAATTATTATAATTATTATATATATATATATATATATATATATAATTTTTGTTTAGTCTCAATCGATTACGTAATTTTATACAAAGCGATCTACCAAACAAAAAAAGCAAGAATGATCTGAGTTTTGTTGTGTTATAATATTATATAAATATTTCAATATTTATTGATCACGTATTAAAATAGGTCAAAATACATATGTTGTGCAAAAATGTTCCTACAAGAATTGTTAAATCTATAATTCTGAGATGAGTCGTTGATAAAAATTTTGAATTTTGATTTTCAATATGTTGAATATAAATCAGGCGCAAATATTTTTACCATTTTTTGTTCTTTTTTCTTCACTATTCTATCTAATGCCCAGAATTTTGTTCCAAGATGTATCGGTAATTTGAGAATACTTTTCAATTGTTCTTTCGTTTCATCGCTGGATGCACGATAAACCATTAAAAGTCCCTCATATAAGCTATTCGAACTGAAGACAAAATCTTTCCATGGCATTATGCGAATCATTTTTTGCAGACATTTCAAGGTAAATTCGATACGTTCGGTCCGAACTGTTGATAAACATGCAAGACAAAAATGTGATAAATAAGCTGAACTAACAAAGGCAGTAAATAGAGATATTACAAGTAGAAAGTTATAATTTATTCTACAATATTTCATCAAAATCAAATTAAATTCAATATATATACTACTTGATTGGCGTTGAATTTATTCGCGAAAGTAATTTGCAAGACAATGGTTTGTTTTCTAACAATTTTTAATTTAATTTTAAATTTGTTTAATATACGATAAAAATTAGCAACAATGTATATCTTGAAAAATTATTTAAATTTTTTGAGAAGAATATATATAAGTTGCAATATTATATATAATGGAAAAAGTATGCGATATAATGTATTTTATAATTTTTCTCACTTTAGTCAAATATTCTTTATAATGATGTAAACTTTATTATGAAATTGATAATCCTTATCTGAAAATAGACAGAAGAAAGGAAAATAGTTCAAATATTTTCAGATAGTTAACAGTTAGTTAACTTCTAGGAAACGAATGTTATTTCATTTTATATATAAATATGTAGAAATAAAAAATAAAAACAGTCGAAAAAAAACAGGAATGACACAAAAGTCTATACCCAGCAAACACCGATATATAATTGTTACATTGCTATAATAAAACGAAATATAACAGGTAATATAACGTGTACGTTACATGTAACATCTATGTTAGTTGTAATTTCCCACTCATAGATGTAACATTTTAATATAACATATATTTGTAGTTATATTGTAATTATATACCAAATAGCACATTGATGTGATAAGTCAGTGTATCTTATGGGAATAATGACATATAAATACAATAAATAATAATATTAAAAATGTTAATTATGTGAAAAAAAATACGTTGAGTTGCTAAATTTTTATTTTTACCAATCTTCAGTAGATAGAAAAAATGGTGTGTGAAGAGGATATAATTAATAGACATTATTGAAAAAATTATTTAGGACTACAATAATAAGTTAATTAAAACAGAGAAAATATCATGCTCAAAATACAAGAGACTTGCCAAAATGTATTAATTTGTAATATTTAATGATCAACATATTATGCAAACATTTTCTGTGTTCTTCCTGTCGTAGCTTCGTATCTTATATGGTACTTAATTGAACCTTAAAAATATGTACGAGACGATTGTTGAATTACAGCATTCATTTAGTAATTGCATTTAAAATTTGCTTTATTTGTTAATTAATTCTTATATTCGCAATATATTTATTTCCTAATTTAATTGAATATATTTGAATAAAATTAAATATTCTTCTTTTTAGTTTGATGAATATGCATGTATAATAATATATTATTTTTCTAATAAACTACAAATAGAATATAATACACGTTACAAATAGAATATTACACGCATTTTACATATACGTATACGCAGCGTCCACATAATGCACTTTATTTCGTGCTTATTTCAATATATTTATTATTGTATCTATTTTTCTGATGATAAATGCGCTATACTTTATTGCAAAGACATTCAATTAATATTTTATACTACTCTTATAAATTTTTTGTTTAGAAAATTTGTTTTTATAATTTTGATACCACATAAATTTTACTCTATTTTTCTTTTATATTATGTTTAGTTTACGTTTATTATTTTTTGTGTATTATTTTTCTTTTATGTCCTTTCTTTATTTTTTATTACCAACGAAGTATAAAAATGGAAGAGATTAAACTTTTATTATTATTAGAGGAAATGTTCTAATTTAGTTTTATTCTGCGTCGATTTAATAGTATCATGACTATCCTTAACGAACTACATAAAAAATTGTTTCCTCTATTTTTTATATAAGATTCCATCTACTAATAGTTTATGCCACTATGTATCTTAAAAAATGACTGAAATTTCCAACAGGCTATAATGTATTTTTCAATATAAAATTTATCAATTAAGTTGTATATGTTTATACTATTGATTCTAATAAATATTCTGCTATTTTTGCTTTTGATAAAATGTTTTTTCGCGCTTCAACTACTGCGCTTCAAGTACTGCTCTAACATGCATGTCTTTTTCATAATTCTGATATTGTTGTTGTCTTATAGCAGCATCATTCGGAAAAAGATAAGCCAGCATTTCATTTGGTTCATAATGCGTGCCTACAAATTTACAAAAGTAGCGACCTATTTCGGTATTAACGATCTTTGTCGACATGATTTCCTTATGTGGCCTGAAATAAAAATGTAAATAGAAAATATATATTTGTGATAACTAACAATAAGGTAAAGTAATAAAATAATCATAAAAATAAATACAATAACTAAAATAAATATCATAACAAACTTAAAAACAAACATAATAAAAAGAGAATAAAATATTGAAATAGGTATACAAAAATAATTTATAAAATCTACAGAATTAAAAAAGGATACGCAATAAAAATAAAGAAAAAAATAAAATAAATGTACACAAAAAACGTGTAAACAAATATAAATTTATATATTAAACTGTCTAATAATATTTATACCTTCATGCACGTAACATATTGTTTTATTTTCGTTAACAATTACGTAATTTATTTCCATAGATAGTCCACAGTTAATAAAAAAGTAGTGTTTCAACTGCATTGCACACAAAACATATTGATCGCAATCAGAAACTATAGGTGTATTATTATATCGGTGCCATGCGATTATCACGCCTTTACAAACATTACCATGTTTTACGATCATTCCTACTGCATATTTTGCGTCCCTTTTTTCTGTATTCCTGCGTACTGGTGTAGTTAAGCGTAGCTTAAACTGAAAAATGTAAGATTAGGCTTTTAGTGATTTTTCTTGTCTTTCTCTCCTAATATATGACTCTAATAGTAAAATACACTACAGCTGTTTTAATTATAGATAATTATAATATGTATATAATTGTACGTATGTGTGGACGACGAAATAAGAATAGAAATTTAATATTTTTTATTATTATGTTACTTTATATATATGTTTACGACATGTTTAATGTGTTTAAATATCTTTCTTACCACGCGGCCTTCATAATTATTTGAATCCGTCTCGAGAAAAGTACTAGATAAATTCTTAGTATGCATAAGTTTGAATTTTATGACATCCAATACCTAAAAAATGATTAAACATGAGCAAGAAGTAAATGTAAACAATACATTGATTCTTGAATAAAAATTAATTAGAGATTATATAACTATATGCAATTCTTTTTGACTATATATTAAACGTATTTTATTGATTTATGTAAGGGTGGAAGTACATTAATTAATGTTAAAACTAATAAAAATAACATATTAGTGATAGACCATCTCCCTAATTCTCATGATAAAAGGTCTATCAGAAAATGTCATTATATATCCCCGATTCAGTACACCTAATCTAGGTTCCATGTAGAAAATTCTTCCACCATTTATTAAATTGCTGTAAACATATAAAATTATAATATACTGTAAACACAATATAAAATTATGTACGGGTGTGTATAAGATAAAAGTAACAATTCCGAAAAGTTCAAATAATTAATATATATAATTTAATATATTATACTTACTGTGTATTGGATTCCAATATATACAGTATCTATTGTTCACATTTATTATATCGCAACGTAGACCAAGTCTCTTGGCCACGCTTTGATATATTATAAATTTAATTATATTTGTAATTGCAATGCATAATTTATGCCATTTTCTATAAAGGCTACATTTCTTTTAATCTTCAGTTCTCTCTCTTTCTCTGCGTCCTCTACAGCCTCATTTCTCTCATACTGTGCGTCGTAATAATTCTTCGCATCAGGCCATCTAAAAATCAAATAAAAAATAATTTAATAATACTTTAAAAATTCTACTATACAATGCGATTGCATAAGTGATAAATTTTCGAAGGAATAAAGTTTTCACAAAGCATAATATACACTCCCAGCAAACACCAATATATAATTGTTACATTGCTATAATAAAACGGAATATAACAGATAATATAACGTGTACGTTACATGAAACATCCATGTTAGTTGTAATTTTCCACTCATAGATGTAACATTTTAATATAACATATATTATATTGTAGTTATATTGTAATTATATATCAAATAGCACATTGATGTATTGATAAGTCAGTGCTATCTTGGGATATAATGACAATATAACTACAATGTAATATATGTAATATTAAAAATGTTACATCTATGAGTGGGAAATTACAACTAACATATACGTTACATGAAACACGCTTATGTATATAACATTTATATACTGCGTTTGCTGAGACATTTCTTTAAAGACTATTTCTGGGGGTTTTTGATTGTTTACTGATTGGTGCCAAATAGTGCCTTCAACCTCAAAGACTGTTTCTACATTTTCAAAGATGCTGGAACATACTTTCAACAATTTGATAGTTGGATGAGACTTCAAGTATATAAAACTCACATAATGCGTTACTCTCTTACATACGGTTAGAGGTCTATATCTATGTTTATTTCGAATAATTTTTGTATACCGGCTTATTGTAATTAATCCTGCGCTGAAGAAGGATCGAATATTTGAGAAAATTGAATCTATTCAACTTTCAGAGTTCGACTTATTTAATTTAAAATAAAACGTCCTTTTTCATTATTATTTCACCGTCTATTTTAAGGAAATAATATAATAAATTATATCGCAATTAAATTATATACTATCATTATTTTGAATTTGCTCCTTGATATTTCATATACGACAAATATATAGTAAATTATATCCTGCAAAGTGTGAATTTTGAGGACTACAGTAAAATAAAGTATAATATGAACGTTAATAATTCATCTATCGCAACACAGTTGTTCAATTGTAATTATTATATTATCATCTAAATTTAATAACACAAAAATTTTATACTAATTTCAAATATTTTTAACACGTAATGTTCCTACAAAATTTTGCTTTTACAATTATTATTTATAATTTTTATATTATGACGCATTGACACTTACAAACTATTAAAAATACTTCACAAGATTATGAATAAGTTTCGCTGTACTACTTTGTTTTCACAATATTTCAAACAGAAACTGAAGAAGACGTCACTTAACAATTTTTATTGACAACGCCAGTAAAAAGGATACTTCTTTTAGAGTCGCTATATATCAACCAGACAAATGATTTTTTGCACTGATTGTGAGTGCAATTGCTAGGTTCCTGAAGTGATGTAAGAGACCCCCCGGATTTGGTAAAGAATACATTAATTGCATTAGCAGTAGCGTTCTTTAATGTGAACTTGATATATGCACGATGATATGCACCGCCGAGATGCAGATTTTCTTCAGTAAAACCAAACAGACTGGCATTCTCGGGGCTCAATACATGTTTGATGTCCAACATTTCGAACAACTGATCGATCGGCAATTCGTACTCCAATTCGAAGACATCGGGATATACCGTATATTCTTCCGGCAACATTTCTTTTAGTTCTCTGTCAGTTAGCATGTTACAAAACGTATGGACTCCTTTTTCAGTTGTCAATCTTTCGACCAATCCAGAAATGTCTTCACCAATTGTATATTTATTAGCTATTATATCTTCCTGCACAGCGGGAAATAACATGATCATACACATCCCGTTTACAAACACTATCTTAGTCATGAACATGCTTAGTTCGTGAGATATGTCTGAAAGAATTGAGATTATAGAGAAAAAAGGAGGTAAAAGTTAATGGAAGCGGAATTAGATTATTGCATACACTATCTTAATTTTACATCAACAATTGTTAAAAATTCATATAATGCTTCTTGCACTCTCAAGTAAAAATGTATTTACATAATCACATTTTGATCAAATATTGAAAATTTACAAAGAATATATGGAAATACATAAAAATTAGAGAAATGTACGTGCGTGTGCGTGTGATTATGTTTAATTTTAAACAACTGTAGAAAATGTTTTATCATACTAAAATGTTTACTAGATTAAAGTTATTATTATAAATTGTTATATTAAACGTTATTTATAAAATAAAATATTACAAAGTATATAATATTAATGTTTTATATTTTATAAAAATAATAGTATAAATATTCATTAACATTAACTGAATATTTATATTATTATTAAATTAGTATACATTTTTATCTTGAAAGTACAAGAAACATTATATAAATTTATAACAATCGTTGATGTAAAACATTTTCATTAAATAGAATTTTATTAGAGAGCTTTAAAATATAATACAAATGTAAAATATAATTAAAATGTGACATACTTACAGGTTCCTTTATATTTTGTCTCAACAAAACGGTTGTCTTTAAACCAAAGACCATACGAAAGAATCAATTCCATATTGTTATTGATTGTGTTAAATATCACAGGTTGAGAGATGTAAGCCTGCATCTCGCTTTTCAATTTTTCGTTAATATCATTTATTACTTTATACATATTGGAACAATTAAACAATTTGTAGTTTTCAGGAGTTATGTACTTATTGTTTTTATAAAGTTTGGTGTCATTAATCCAACAACTATGCTCACTGCAAAAACACTCTTTCATCCCTGTAACCTGGAACTATAAATGACATATATAAAACAATTTTTGAAATTCTTTTCTTTTTTAAATCAAAGATTTTAACTTTAATTGTAGATTACATAAATTTATTTATAAAAGTAGAATGTTATGTTATATACAATATTATTTTACATAATCATTTTCATAATATTTTAGTGTAAAATTATTTAATATAATATTATGTAACATTTTAATATTACAAAATCCTTATCTTATTGAGATGTTATATATATATATATATATATATATATATATATATATATTTTAGCTTGAAATATTTTGATTAATGAAGCAGTAATTATAATATTTTATATTTAAATACAAATTATTGTTTAAAAATTGCTTAATGACAAGATTAAATTAAATGTAAAACATTTGATTTTCTGTTTCTCTTAAAAATGCATTCGTAATTTCGGTTAATATTTTCCGCTTAAATATTTATTTAATAAATTATTATAATTATTATATATATATATATATATATATATATATATATAATTTTTGTTTAGTCTCAATCGATTACGTAATTTTATACAAAGCGATCTACCAAACAAAAAAAGCAAAAATGATCTGAGTTTTGTTGTGTTATAATATTATATAAATATTTTAATATTTATTGATCACGTATTAACATAGGTCAAAATACATATGTTGTGCAAAAATGTTCCTACAAGAATTGTTAATTTTCTGTAATTCTGGGATGAGTCGTTGATAAAAATTTTGAATTTTGATTTTCAATATGTTGAATATAAATCAGGCGCAAATATTTTTACCATTTTCTTTTCTCTTTTCTTCACTATTCTATCTAATGCCCAGAATTTTGTTCCAAGATGTATCGGTAATTTGAGAATACTTTTCAATTGTTCTTTCGTTTCATCGCTGGATACACGATAAACCATTAAAAGTCCCTCATATAAGCTATTCGAACTGAAGACAAAATCTTTCCATGGCATTATGCGAATCATTTTTTGCAGACATTTCAAGGTAAATTCGATACGTTCGGTCCGAACTGTTGATAAACATGCAAGATGAAAATGTGATAAATAAGCTGAGCTAACAAAGGCAGTAAATAGAGATATTACAAGTAGAAAGTTATAATTTATTCTACAATATTTCATCAAAATCAAATTAAATTCAATATATATACTACTTGATTGGCGTTGAATTTATTCGCGAAAGTAATTTGCAAGACAATGGTTTGTTTTCTAACAATTCTTAATTTTATTTTAAATTTGTTTAATATACGATAAAAATTAGCAACAATGTATATCTTGAAAAATTATTTAAATTTTTTGAGGAGAATATAAATAAGTTACAATATTATATATAATGGAAAAAGTATGCGATAGAATGTATTTTATAATTTTTTCTCACTTTAGTCAAATATTCTTTATAATGATGTAAACTTTATTATGAAATTGATAATCCTTATCTGAAAATAAACAGAAGAAAGGAAAATAGTTCAATTATTTTCAGATAGTTAACAGTTAGTTAACTTTTAGGAAACGAATGTTATTTCATTTTATATATAAATATGTAGAAATAAATAATAAAAACAGTCGAAAAAAAACAAGGAATTGACACAAAAGTCTATACCCAGCAAACACTGATATATAATTGTTACATTGCTATAATAAAACGAAATATAACAGGTAATATAACGTGTACGTTATGTACACATGTAACATCCATGTTAGTTGTAATTTCCCACTCATAGATGTAACATTTTAATATAACATATATTATATTGTAGTTATATTGTAATTATATACCAAATAGCACATTGATGTATTGATAAGTCAGTGCTATCTTGGGCTATAATGACAATATAACTACAATGTAATATATGTAATATTAAAAATTCTACATCTATGAGTGGGAAATTACAACTAATATATACATTACATGTAACATGCTTAAGTATATAACATTTATATATTGTTTGCTGGGTATGATTCTAGAATTATTGAATCTAACGGATCGCGAAAACTTTATATAAAATAATATAAAAAGTGAATATTTGCGTAATAACAAATGTCTTTTATTTCAATTATTATTATTATTATTATTATTTATTAAATTATTATATGCAAAGTAAATTGGCGGCAAACTTGCGTTACATTTTATAATATCTTTGTACTCACCACCAGTAGTAGAACTTTCTGTAGCCATCGTGATTTATATAAAAACAATGTTGCTGCTTGAATTGTAGCACGTGTACTGAAGAAATGCCTGATGGCATCATGGCAGATCAATTTTAACGAATTGGTGGGATGTTGGTGATGGGGAATTTTATTTTGTGAAAAAAGAACTGTTTCGTTTAGATTTACGTGTTCTCGTTCTGATTTCTGATTGGCTAAACGACGATTCTGCGCGAGAAGCCAACCGTGAAGGGCTCAATTTTCAAAGAATATTTAAGATATTTCTAAGAATATTCAAAAAATTCCCCAAAAATGTTTTTTTTAAAAATTATTTCAGAAGAATCAATGAATTTATTAGATATTATTAATTATTATATTTATGTTTCGCAGGTATATAAATACATAAATCTAATTTACAATTTAATTATGTAGCATTAATATTTAAATTGAAAATGTTTTTTGTAGTTAGATGTAATTATATATAAATATGCGCATGTGAAAAATACATACGCTTTTGGAATTTTTGATATGCTGAAATACAATAAAAATAATATGAAAATAAATTACGTGAAAAAAAATACGTTGAGTTGCTAAATTTTTATTTTTACCAATCTTCAGTAGATAGAAAAAATGGTGTGTGAAGAGGATATAATTAATAGACATTATTGAAAAAATTATTTAGGACTACAATAATAAGTTAATTAAAACAGAGAAAATATCATGCTCAAAATACAAGAGACTTGCCAAAATGTATTAATTTGTAATATTTAATGATCAACATATTATGCAAACATTTTCTGTGTTCTTCCTGTCGTAGATTCGTATCTTATATGGTATTTAATTGAAACTTAAAAATATGTACGAGACGATTGTTGAATTACAGCATTCATTTAGTAATTGCATTTAAAATTTGCTTTATTTGTTAATTAATTCTTATATTCGCAATATATTTATTTCCTAATTTAATTGAATATATTTGAATAAAATTAAATATTCTTTTTTTTAGTTTGATGAATATGCATGTATAATAAAGTTAAGAGTTTAACAAGGCTCTGTCATATATAAATATAAATTTAAAGTATAAGACAGGCGATAAGCGCCGATCGCGGAAGACAGTGCGTTATCCCAACGAAACTAAATTTTTTCGTTGGAATTAAATATCTGTGCACAAGGCACCAAATTTTACTTGGTCACTGCCAAGATTTTTAAAACATGAAATAATCTCATATTTGAGATTTAATTTTAATATTCCTTTAATCCCCCTACGGAAATAAATAAATGCAAGAGAAAAATATACATCCGAAAGTCGCTGAATCGGGAATCGAACCCGAGACCTTTCGCTTGCCGGGCGACTGCTCTTCCAACGTTGTGTATTTTTCAGAGACATAATTTGCAACTTAATTAATAAATAAATTAGACGAAATTTAATAAAAGCAATTAATAAATTAATTAATTAATAAATATAGAATTAACTTAATTAAATATATTAGATAGAAGTGTTTTGTATTTATGGCTGTTGTTAGATTTATAGAAGAAAAATGTGTTGAGAGAATTGTGCTTTTTTCTCTCTCCCTATTATAAACGATGGAACAATTTGTTTTTGTAAGGTTACTAAAAATTGAATCTGCTTGCACATCAATATATATTCTTTTCTTTTTTCTATCTCTTATATGACAGTTTTATAACATTTGTTTTCAGACAATTACGCAACATTAACTTCTTAGCTTTAACATTTGTTATTGCTTATATATATATATATATATATATATATATATATATATATATGTATGTATGTATGTATGCATATATATACATATATATATATATATATATATATATGTATGTATGTATATGTATGCATATATATACATATATATATATATATATATATGTCGTTTTTATAATATTGTAATGAAATAAACGCGCTCCTTTTATTATAAAATAGCTCTGCAAAGTGGCTGCTTTGTACTCTGATGGTAAAGTAAAAGAAAGCTACAATACAAATTCACTTTTGTCCAATTACAGATCGACACTATTTCGTTTTTAGATAGCACTCTTAATTGCATTGGAAATTAATTTAATTTGGTACTTGTTTTTTTCTTTTAAATATACATAATAAATATATAAAAATAAAATAAATAATATAAAGTTAATAGCATAAACAATAAGATAAACATTTTCAACAACAATACATTTTGAATAACTTCTATAAGTTAATATATTATTTTATTTAAAAAAAGTATTATATTTTAAGTTTAAAATATTATACTTATAATTATTTTAAATGCTGTTATTGAGAATATGCAAATTGTCATATGTACATAATAAGAACGAATAAATAATTAATATATAAATTATAAATAGACGATACAAAAAACTAATAAAATATAAATTTAAAAACGAATAGTTAGCATGAAACTATCATTTGTGAATTTTATAATAATGTCTTTGTCTTTATATCACGCGTATATTAATAATTTACAGATTGACGGCCTAAGTAATCCATGCACTGAAAAGAAATGTATTGAATTTGAATAAGTATTTATTTCAATACTACCAAATAAATTATTTATTTGAAACTAATAATATTAATTTGATATGAAAAATATTTATTTGATATAAGAAAACCCTTTTTAAAACAAATAAATATTTATTTATTTCAAATAAATAATTCAATTGGCAGTATTGAAATAAATATTTATTAATTTAGTAATTTTTTTCAGTGTGTCATTAAGCATCAATTGACAGATTGACTACGTCGTTTTGTACGTCATCTTAAGATATATGCATAATCTTAAAATATACACACATAGCTTATAAAGGGAGAGATCACGAACGAGTATAAGAAAATTAAATGACTTTGATGATTCCTTCCAGCTTCTAACATAAAAACATAGAAAGATACAATGTCACGAGTCACGAGATTACAGCTATCAAATAGGGAATTTTTAATGTCACAAAAAATTTTTTTGAATATTTTTGATTATTATATTTTATTATTATTTTTATTATATTTTTGTATATACTTTGCTGGAAAGATCCTATTGTCATTCACATAATCATATCATAAGTAATCATATATAAGTAATCATATATATATTATAAGTAATCGCAATAAAATAGAAATATATATATATAAAATTAGAATGGCTACGCTATATACCAAGGAGAACAGAAATGTTAAAATAATGTCAAATTGACGTCAAAATATGATTAAAATATGGTCATTTTAGTTTGCCAAAATGACATCAAATTGCATAAAATTTTGATGTTATCTTGATGTTCACAATGATAAAAAATTATTATTTTGTATTAAAAATAATTAAGATGCAAATTTAAGACGTCAGTCGCTTAAAATAATATTTTAATCAACAATTTAGTTTTTAATACAATAACTCAACTCTTCTGCGAACTGCAATGATATCTGGATATGAAAAATGTTAACTTTTAATTATCTTCATAATCATAAGCATTGGATTATTCACAGTCGAGAAATGTACGTCACATTTTCTAAAAATTAAAAAGGTCAAAAATAGAGAGTCAATATAAAAATTCATTTTTTAGTCATCTTCGAGATCGAGAGTTCCATAACTAAAAAATTACAAATTTAGTCAATATGACGTCAAATTGACATCATTTGAACTTTTCTATTCTCCTTGGGAAGGTGTTCTTCTCTAGCGTTTTTATAATGCCAGCGTTTGGGAATAACATCTGATGCATCCAAGTGTCATTCTGATGTATCTTTGTTACTTACAAAAAGTTGATAGAATGTGACTCTGACGTGTCTAATTGTGAGTGTAATTTTTGAACGCAGCCAATATTTTTATAATCTTATTTACTTCTCTTTTACCAGTCTGTTGATAAAATTGCAATGGGGATAGTGTTTTATGTGCTCCATTATAGGATCGTCTTCCGGTTCCCAATGTTTTAATCCTCCGCCGCAATAGAAACAATAGGTTTCGTTGCCGTCATCTCCCGAAAGCCAACCAGCTTTCGCCAGATCTTCAATTTTATGAGTCCATCTTCCCGGACAATCGAGGAAAGTCCCTAATCTATATCTGTAGAAGACAAAATTGGGATATTTGGCGCCTATAAGTTCGCGCGGCTTAACAGGGCAAGAATAACCAAAATATTCGAAGTAAACCTCGATTTCTTGATCAAGCTCATCCGGAGAAAAATCGGATATGTCCATTTTGCTTATACTTTCAGATGTGGGTACAGGTGGACAAGATACCGGATCGTTTTCCAACGGGATATTTCCGCAAGGAATATTGCGGACTATTCTACATCTCGGGGAAGATTGCTTGTGCCTCTCTGACGGCAGGTTATAACAACTGCACCAGTCGGATATGACGACATGACAGTTGAAGCATTCCATCTTATCATCTTTTCCAGTGTAATAGAACCCATCTTCTGCGAGTAGTTTAGGAAGATTTTTCTTGTCTTCCGGTATAGTCCATGCGCGTAAGCTTGCTAATCTAAAGCTTTGGAATCGATAATAGTTCTTCTCCAATATTTTGTTGTACTTATTTCTTTCTTGTCTAATGTAATTTGCTACAAGATTATCGTTTGATTCTAATTCATCCATCCTAATGCGAAATAAATTTTTTATTATAAATCTGTAAAGAGTAAATTATAATAATTATTTGAAAATCATTAATTAAGTAATATGTCTAAAATTAAATACTTTCTGAGCAAAATTAAAGTGTGATTAAGCAATGTGCAAATTAAGTTTCTTCTATGAAAAAGCTGTCCCTTTTTAAAAAAAGCAAAATTGACTAACGCAATAAATATTGTTGCTGTTTTTCCGCGATGCTGATTGATTGTCTCGATTATAACATTGTGTGTTATATTAATGACTATATTTCTATGCACGCATTGCTATAATAATTTTATACATGCATTGCAATTTTTAAGATTTTACTATCAAAGAATAATATAACTTTGCTTCGCGCACGTAATTATATTCGATTAAAATAAACAAAATGAGAAAAAATATATAAAGAGATACATCCATACAAAATAGTTCTCATACAATACAATAAAAAGTCGACAAATTAAAATTATATACATAATAGAAATTCAATAAATTAAAATTATATACATAGGTAATGGAAATTCGAGAATTAAAATTATTACATAATAGAAATTCGGCAAATTGAAATTATGGTCATAGCATCAAGCAACTGTCATTTTGAAAATTAACAATTTGACAGTTATAAAATAAACAATAGAAATGATATCAAACATCACGCTTATGTTGTCTAGTTATTTAAAAAATCCTAATTAGCGAAATAATATGGTGAGGAAGCAATGTTCAAGTTGCCAACTTGCAATTTTTTGTTTAATTATTAATTATAATTAATGTATACATTATTATTTTATTTATTAATTTTTTATTAATTATTTTATTTAATATATATCTATAAATTTTATTTAATAATTATATAATTACATATTTAATTATTCATTTAATTTCTCAATTAGTTTATTTCAATAATTATTTTATGAATCAGTTGATTTATTAAACTGATTATAAATTAATTTTTATTATAAAATTTTATTATTGTTTGATTTTTATTACATTTAATTATTAATTAGGTTTATTAATTAAATTAATTCGAATAAAATTTCTCGTTAAAAATGAAGATGAGAGAAGGCAACTCCGCAATAATCTCGATTTGGACATATATTATCAAGATGACCCGGAATAACATGTAAATTTTAGCCGTCATTCTTCATCAAAAGTTATTAACAAATAAAGTTAGAAAAATAATTACATAGAGGGATTATTTCCTAATTTTGATTAAATTTAAGTGTATTAAGACTTTTTAAATTTATTTATTAATAAAAATGTTTAAACGAAATTATCTGTTTTTTCCTTAATATTCGTGTAATTTTACATTTTCAATATTCATTTATTGTATAAGGTTTATCGACAAGAGTCACTGTGTCATCAACAAAGTCATTGTACTGATATTGCTGTTGCACGAAATATAAAAATTATATAAACTAATATGTTTATTTTGTAACTTATTTCTGCTAATTACCGCTGTCATAAAAATAAAAAGTTATAAACATAATATATATGTTTTAGAGCAAGACTTTTTTAATATAATGTATATTATTTATATTCTATACACATAAATTTAAAAAACAAGATCACTCAGAAACAAATTATATCCATATATTCATAATCATATGTGTAGATATTTATATCTTTTTTTATTTCCTTCTGTTTATTTATATAACAAACATAATAAAATAATTATATGGACAAAAAACCTTTTTCTCGGCTTATTTTTTATTATTGTGTTAAATATAATAAGTAATAAATGACCTTTGTATTATAGATTATTACTATATTATTTCACGTGTTTCTTTTTAGAAAATTATAATTAAATATCTTTGAGTTCTATTATATTTTTGCAGATATCAACATATTTTTCTCTACGGGCTTCCTTTTCGTGTTAAACTGTTGAAACGAGCGAACGTTTTGTGCATCAAATGCCTTTGCATAGAAGAAAAAAAGCGATGTTGTGTGTGACACAATTCATGACGTGAATTAATTTGTAAAATATATATGCGAGTGAAAATAAAAAAATTGAATATTATTAAAAGAATTCGCGATAATGATTCTTGATTCTTTGTTATTACCTGAAGATGAAATTTTGATAGATCCACATTTCTGACAGTTAGGTCGCTCTACGATAACGGGACGTTCGCAGATGTTTTTACAATCACACAGTGTCTTCGAAAAATAATATTTAAATGGTCGTAATAGTCCTCAACATTCGCGTTATATGTTAATGCAAGGAAAAGTTCTTGTTCAAAATTCGCACTTGATCGCGAGGAGCGGTCTGGTTTAGCTGATCCTCCAATTCTTATATTCAGCCGTAATTTCAAGCCGTGCTTGTTTGATTCCTTATTAATTAATAGATTAACGCGTTGACCTTTTTCTCCAGCACCGCATGTATGTCTTTACACATTTATAACTATTATAAATCTTTAAAATATATAGGCACGATAAATAAAGACCACTGGTAAGAAGAATTTGAAACGTTCGTTGTCGAGCACAAGACAATGTTTACATTTCTTGTATATACTTTCGTGTCTCAATCGTCACTGATTTCGTTTCGAAACATAATGAAATACATATAATCTCAAAAGCATGATATGCCGAGACCCGATGCCTGTCGATCGTATCCGAATTAACGATCAGGTCTCCTAGAGAAATTTTGGTATCTCGCGAAGCTTAGTGCGCGACCCGAGAAATCGCGTGAAATTCCGAGCCCTAGACTCATGACTTTAAATGTATTTTCTTAAATTCATGTTAATTTTAACACAAAAATATATGAAAATACATAAATTTTAGAAAAAATGTAATAGTTAAAAATAGAGTTTTGAATGGGACATTATCGTGAAATCGAATTGTTCTTGGGCCGTTTGTACGGTTGTAAAATTAATTTTTTAAAATAAAGCGAATCTAATTTTTTATGTAAATTGATTTCTCTTAATATTCGGTAAAAGAATTGTAAGGATAGAATGGCTACAGAGTGAATAGTTTGCGAGATATTTTGTTTAATTTATTTATATACTTTAATTATACAGGGTGATTCAAAACAACCGTTTGTCTTAACAATGTCGCATGTCTGATTGAATTCTAAGACAATTTTCCCTTTGTCAAAATTTTTTCCCCAAAGCTTAATTTTCAAAATATTGAGAAAAATACCCAGCAAACACCGATATATAATTGTTACATTGCTATAATAAAACGGAATATAACAGGTAAAATAACGTATACGTTACATGTAACATCCATGTTAGTTGTAATTTCCCACTCATAGATGTAACATTTTATTTAATATAACATATATTACATTGTAGTTATATTGTAATTATATACCAAATAGCACATTGATGTATTGATAAGTGAGTGCTATCTTGGGATATAATGACAATATAACTACAATGTAATATATGTAATATTAAAAATATTACACCTATGAGTGGGAAATTACAACTAACATATACGTTTTATTATATCGACACTTTAACTCACGCACTTGATTCAATGTGAAGAATTTATGATTTATGATTAACACGATTAATAACACTCATTGTCAATTATTATTTGATTATTAATATCACTTTTAAAAAACGCGTATGCATAGCGAACATTACTCGATGCGGACGACTATGGCACGCCGTTTTACTTTTTAATAACATAAAAGAGTTTCTATTTAATATAAAAGTTTTAATAATTAATTGTCTTATAAAATATCAATGAAGTAAATTTATGTTAATGCATAACAATAATTACATGATTTAAAATTATATCGCGACATAATAATAATTTCAAATTTTTATTGATGACAACCCATTGCAACTTATATATATTTAAATGTTGGCAACGCAAAATTAAAAAAAAACATTACAGAGAGAGAGAGTATTAATTTAAGCTTCATCAAAATGAGATGTGTTCGGGTAACGAAATGACACAAAAAAACAACAATCAAAAAATATATTAATTTACCGTATGTGAAGGAGCTTTTATTCACTGCATAAAATGTAATTAAATGCAGATGTTATGGCAATTCAATTTTTACATTTATATAATATGAGTACATACATATATTTTACCAAAATAATATATTACTAATATTGTTATAGGAACTTTTATGGAATGTCTCAAATTATTCGAATACGATGCAGACAAATTGATGAAATTACTTTTTCGATGAATTTATATCGGGACGAAGTATTATACAATGGAAAAAAGGTAATCATTATATGACGATATTATAAGTAATAATAAGTGAAATTAATATTTCAAGAAAACGACTTTTAAGAAGAATAAATTAGTATAAAAATTACAAATTTTAAATATAAAGATATATAAATTTATAAAACCACTAGTCTTGTATAAGTATAAATATAAAAAAGAAATACTATATAAAACAAAGGCCAACTAAAACGAGCAAAACAATTATGATGTCAAATTATTAAAACATTTAAACATTTTTACTCTTAAAAACTTAAATAAAATTATATTTAATTTACATATACATATACGTTTCGACTGCACGGCAGTCTTTCTCAATATAATACATTGTTAATTAATAATATAATATAATTTACATTAAGTCTCTTTCTACACATTTTAATTTGCCGCTTTTTTTATAAATATAGAAATGCATATTTATTTTATTATAGTACAGAAATGTGTATAAGAAATTTAAAAGAAACAAAATCAAATAAATGAGTCTATTTCTTATGATTGTTATATTTAGATTTAATATGACATAGTTTTATAAATTGGAAGAAAAATTAATTAAAGCAATTATTTAATTATTAAGAGAGAAGCATTGAAGGAATGAAAACGCGAAAATGTAAGCATAACTGACATGGTTTCGAAAGCGAGTTATAAACAGCCTATGTTTATGTTTACGACCTTGTACGTATATGTCGAGTTTATATCAAGTTTATCTTCCTTCGCTGACGATCTACGTAAGATCAGTATAACAGGAACCATAGTCACAGATAGTCGACGATCTGAAACAATTGCCAATATCAACATTTGTTACTAATAAATTAAATTCTATAACGTAAAGTTATGGCTGAGGATACCAGCGGTGACTATGATGTGATGGAATTATCGAAGGCGGTGGAATTGATTTGTAAACAGGCAAAAGATGTACATATCAATGACATATCGATCAATACACTGGCGGAGCAGGTATGTTTTCTTACTTATTTTAACTTATGTTTAAAAAATTTTGAGATATATTCATGACATATTTTATCAAGATTTTTATCAATTTTTATTTTAAATACGAAAAAACATTTTATAGTTTCCTTTTGTTAAATTATATTATGCCGTTTTTCGATACGTTAATCAACTTGTTTTGAGTTTTTATATCAATAAAATAAAGTATTCTTGTAAAAGGTGAAATGAATGCGATACATTTAACAAATATTATATAATTTTGTATAAGTCTTAATAATTTTGGATAAATGTTTTTTTGAATTAATAAACATAAGCAAATGGATGAAAAGATTATTAATTATATCGAGTGAGAAAAAAAACATTAAAAAATTTCCATGCTACCAAATTAATTTTTTGACAATTAGGATATTTAAAAATAATTATTCTATTCTTTTAACTTATTTTCTATTGTGCAATTTTTACATACTATTAATTGCATACTATATTACGTATAAATATATGTATAATATTTATCAAATATTTTAATATTATTTGTCATTTGCAATTATTACAAAAGTTTTTGGTAACATATTGTGTTTATTTAAAATTATGAGCATTTTCGGATATTTGTAAATGATTGTTTATGAGTAAAATAGATTTCTATTTTTTACATTTTTTTACATTTGAATAAATATTTTGATTGACATAGGTAATATGTAATGCGATATCATATTCAAAGGAATTTTATCTACACAATAATTGTTTCGTGCGTCCTCTAACATATGTGACCGATACAGTTATAAAAGCGGATTGGCTATTTGTGTTACATACATTGAATTTTTCACTCTGGTGTCCAAAAGGTACTGAGCAATGGGATTGTGGAGCAGAAGGATTTCCTGGATTATGTAATGCTATGAGACGGGCTATTTATGTGAGTACAATGCTTACCCACTTTTAACTGACATAATTAATGTTACTAACAATATTTTCAATTTTTTTATAACATTTGTTCTTTAGTGTATTGTAATTTACAGTTAACATAAATTATATTAATTTGTTGATATTTTATGGTTTGTTTTAGAAATATTATTGAAATTTCTCGTTTTATATCGATATAGATTATTAATACTTTAATTATATCTGTCTTAGTTGGCAAAGCTTTTATCTGTGTTTAAATATAATATTTTGTACTAAAATTGTTTTGTGCGATTTTAATTGTTTTTTTGTTTGTTTTATTTTACTGAAAAATGATATTTACCAGTTTGTGTATTACATATAATTACATATTTATGCAAATTGTCGAATTTTAATCATAATGCTCTTAAATTTATTATTACATAATATAAAATCATACACAGTGCACAATTCCAGAATATGGTGTAGAACCGTGTAGAACATATTTGCTCTATTTTTATAATGAAGATAATTACTCTAATTATCGGAATATAGCGCGTAAGATGTAAATTTTATTTTTCAAATAAGTAAAATTTAGAAAGTACATCTAGTATGTTTTATCTTTGTGACTAATATTTGTAAATATCGTATAACACACTTTTAACATTCAGAAACAGAGAATTGCGTTCTTATATGTTTTTTAACAATTTCTTTTCTTTATTGTTTCGATCTTTTATGAATATATTTTTGCATTGTGTTTTTTTTCAATTTTTCGTGAAATAATCGATTTTGTGTAGGAATCGATTAATTTATTATATTATTAATATTATATTATTATAATATAATACTTTTTTAAAATATGTATAAAATAAGGTGATTTTCTTTAGAAGTGATTTGTTAATTTAGCAACCGCTTAATATTTTATATTATTTATGAAATGTTATGGAATGTTTCAACGCTTCTTTGATCGATATTTCTTTGAGTATAATTTTGCAATATAATACATTTTGTTAAAGAGTTTTTGCGGAATGCTCATTCAAATAATTATCTTAAGTTAACATATTTTATTTTATTATTTGATACCGCCCCATGTTTCTAGCTAGTTGAAATTTTAATTTATATATAGTACTGGAACCTTTATTTATTTTTTAATTAATAATATATAATGTTTGTAAAAGGAAAAGAAGCCTATATGGGATCCTAACTATTACACAAAGATAACACGAAATGAGTTAGAGTATATTTTACGAAGTAAGAATAGCAAAACTACCATTCCTCTTTTAGACGAAAGACTAAAAATTTTACATGATGTTGGAGAAATTTTGTTGAAAAAATATCAAGGTAGAAATTCTGACATTACGTTAAAATAAATTATTTTTATTAAATTATATTTATGACATTTATATATTTTCTTATAATCGATATAGCAAAATTCTTTTAAGACTTTCTCTGTTTCTCAAGAAGAGAGAAAAGTAATTCATCTCTGTATAAAACGTAATTAAATGTAAATGTCACAGGATTTGCATGTTTCATTTCCTAAAACATTTAGCATGTACTATATACTTATCTTATGTATTGTTAAAATAAAATATTATTAATATTTTTATAGGCACTTTTATGGAATGTATCAAATTATCCGAATACGATGCAAATAAATTGTTGAAATTACTTTTCGATGAATTCGAGTCATATCGAGACGAAGTAATATACAATGGCAAAAAAGGTAATTATTGATTAGTAGTATTACAGTAGAGTTTAAAAATAATGCACGCAATATTAAATAATAAAATGTCACTAGATATAATATAATTTTAATAAAATTATATTTTTGATTAATAAGTGAATAATTTAATTTAAAAGTTTTAGAATTTTAATGCATCTCAAAAAAATTATTTTTACACTATATTATTTATAGTAAATATTATTACATATTTGAACATATATTAGACTAATACATCAATAAATGTCAGATATATATTAGTGAAAATTTTCTTGCATTTTAAGAAACACGATTTCAATTCAATAATAATAAAATTCGTAAAATATAATTTATAGAGTATTTGACGAACTTTCGTCAAATTAATATATGATATATAATATATTTTAATTTTTATTTTTATAATGAAATTGTTTAAGTAATATAGCACATTTTATTTACTATTATTTTTAGTTTATTAATATTATTTTTATATTAAATTATTTTTCAGTTCGTTTTCTTTGCAAAGCGCGGTCACTAGTAGCCGATATATGGGGCATCCCTGAGAATAAATTTAATCTGGATACAAGGAATATGATATCTACGACGTTCATTGATTATCGTATTCCCCTATTACTTTTTCGGTTTCGAATTTTGAGTTACAGTGACACACTCTTGAAGAGATTTGAAAATAGTAGATTTTTAACATTATTTTTTTTCTACGAGTGATAAATCTTTATTTTTTTATAAATTCTGTAATTCTACGCACTTATATTTGCAATTTGACAAAATAATATTTTCAAGTAATTTTTGATGAAATAGTTTTTTCAGTATAAAACATAAGATATCATGACAAAAATAATAATCTTTTACTATATTTTAAAATAATTTCTTGCCATTTACTTAGTTATTTTTATAAAATAACTTACTTGCTAAAACAACTATCTATATTACATAGATATTTATTGAAGATTAAGGATTTGCAATATCTAAAATATTTCTCAAATGGGTTTTCTTCTGAAAAGATACTTTTTATTTATAAGAATTATTGATAATTTATAGTTTTTTAAATAAAAATTTCTTATTGGTAACTTATTGATAACATATGTGAAAATAATTTTAAGTTACCAATAAGAAATTTTTATTTAAAAAACTATAAATTATCAATAATTCTTAACTTGTTTATTTTGAAAAAATAGTTTTATTAATTTTACTCATTTATCTAAACTAGGATCAGACGAAAATATTATATATAATTTTATATTTATATATTTATTTATTTTATTTATACAATATATTTAGTTGAAAGGTTTATTAATCAAATTAACCAATTTTCTTTTCACCGTTACATATTATTTAAACGACTTGCATTTTTTTCACAGATGAACCGCTTGAGTTTGGAAGCAGAGAAGAAATTGAGATACGTGGTTGCTCACTTTTCGTTATGCAAAAAATATGCAACGAAGTGCATAATAGAATAAACCAGCGTTACAAAGCAGATGAACGTATTTTAAAGATAAAATCATTGGATATACCGGTTATGGTCGATAATTGCTTTTTGAGAATGATGTTTTATGACAATATATCTTTCCAGCAATCTCCATTCCATTATATTAAGACTTTGCATTATTAAAACAATAAGCAATATCCATTTTATTATATTAAAACTTTGCATTATTAAAACAGTCTTAAATTTTATTATGTTATTGTTAATTTGCGAGTACCTTATATCAAAATATAGTCACCGCTTTTGTAATTATGACATGCTGAAGTATACACAACAATTATATTATATATTGGCAAATCATATAAAATTATAATATAATATTTTCCCTTAATAATGCTGATGACACAATCAATTATTATTTTCGATTGATATAGATATTTAATCCAAAAATGTGTTTCTTTTATCATTCTAATGTAGATATTTTTATCTTGAACAGTTTGATATATGTTATAACAATATATGTATATTAGACTGATGTATGCAAAAATAGAAGAAATCGGAAAGGTATATTTTTTAATATATCTATATTTACTTTTTATTTTTTGTTTTTGTTTAATTATCTATTATTAATTATAATAGAATAAAAAAGAAATGAGTTCCGTCCTTTCCGATTATGCTGAAACTTTACAATATTGCGTATTTTTGTGCGTAAAACACGAATTTCTAAATATTATCTTTAAATATTTGTCTCTTCTTTTATAAATAAAAAATGCATATTTCTTTTAATTAGTACAAAAATGAATACTAATAGCGTAGTTAAAAAGTAATATGGATCAGATAAAATCGATCTATTTTTCATGAATATTACATTATTGTCTACACTTAATATGACATAGTTTTATAAGTGTTATAAAAAAATTAAAATAAATGCAAGTAATTATATTAAACAAGCATTAAAGGAATGTAATTATAAAAATATCAACGTATTCGCATAAGTAGTAAGATTTTAAAAGTTAGTCAAAAATAACGCATATTAACGCGTGTTTCTGTACATATAAACAAATGTACATAAACATCGACCTTATACATGTAAAGTTTACATTTGAGCTTATATCAACTTTTTCTTTTTTGCTGACAGTATTCTAACGATAAGATCAGTATAATATTAGAAAGCATAATCACGGGGATATTCAGCAGTGTGAAAAGATTCTCAAATATAACGTGAAATCATGGCTGAGAATACCAGCGGTGACTGTGATGTGATGGAATTATCAGAGGCGGTGAAATTGATCAGTAAAAATGCACAAGACGTATTTATCAATAAAGAGAAAATTAAGGGAGTGGCAGAGAACGTACGTTTCTTTTGAACTTATATTAAAAAATTTAGAGATATATTTGTAACACATTTTATCAAGATTTATCAATTTTTATTTTAAATATTGAAGAGAGGAAAATTTCATAATTTAATTTTGTTAAAATATCACGCGTTTTTTTCGATACGTCAATCAACTTATTTCAAGTTTTTATATCAATAAAATAAAGTATTCTTACAAGGTAAAATGAACGGAATGTATTAAATTTTATAATTTTGTATAATTTTGTATTTTTTATTATTTTGTATAAATATTTTTTGAATTTAATATTCATAAGAAAATGGAAAGGTTGAATAATGAATAATATCTATAGTGAAAGAAAAAAATAAAACAATTTCCATGCCACAAATTAACTTATTTATAGGTATATTATTTAAAGAACAAATGTTCTATCCTTTCAATATATTTTCTATTATGCAATTTTCATGTTTACATATATATTTAATTGCATGATATGTTCCGTATATATATATATATATATATATATATATATATATAACATATTCGGCAAATGTTTTAGTATTTTCTGCTATTCGCAAGTATTGCAATGATATTTGATAAGATATTGTGTTTACTTTATATCGCGAGCACTTTGGGATATTTGAAAATTATTGTATGAATAAAATTGATTTTTTTCGATGTTTTGTAACATTAAAATACAGATATTGATTAATTTACATAGGTAATGCAACATTTAATGAAACATATCAATATTTTCTATAAACTTAATAACAATTTCTTACGTCCCAAGTCATATCCGTATGAAGTTAATGAACAGCCGATAATGGTGAATTGGCTATTTGTGTTGAATACATTGAATTTTTCACTCTGGTATCCAAAAAATATTAAGCAATGGAAAGTTGATGGCAGAGAGGGATATATTGGATTATGCAATGCTATTAGACGGGCCATTGAAGTGAGTAATTAATAATATTATCAATATTTTTCATTGAATTTGTTCTTTAGTCTACTGTAGAGTGTTTCCAGTTAACATAAATTATATTTGTTTTTTATTTATATTTTATAGATTGTTCAGAAATATTACAAAATTTTTTCACTTCAGTGTTAATATTTGTTACAAATACGTTTTACATTTTTTAACCTTAGATGGAAAAGCATTTATTTGTGTCTAATAATTTTTCGTGTTAAAATTGTTTTGCGCTAACAATATTTGGTCCATTGTTTGTTTTATTTTATTGAATTTTTGATAATATTTATTAATTCTGCATATATATAATTAAATATTTATACAAATTGCTATATTTTAATTATTATTACAATAGTTTAATATCAAAATAATAATACTTAATAGTACAACATTATAGTACAGAGCACAATTTTAGAACATCGTAATGCTGTTTTCACTGAGAATTTTTATAAAAGAGACAATACGCTTAATTATCGCAATAAAGCGCATAATGCAAATTATATTTGTTAAATAAATAAGAAAGGATACTTTGTTTTAAATCTAATTCTAATCTTTAATTCTATTTGAATAATTAATTCAACTTTATTTGTGCTCCATGCACAACTTATGTGTTCCAATAAAGCATAATTTTTTTAACTGATTATTTTCCGCATTAGGCTATTTCTAGCTCGTTAATAACTTTATGTATTATATTGGAAGTTTTATTTATTTTTTAATTGATAATGGTAAATGTTTGCAAAAGAATGAAACGCCTGTGTGGAATCCTGAATATTATGCAAGAATGACAAAAAGTGAGTTAGAGCATATTTTACGAAGTGACGATGGCGAACCTGACATTCCACTTATAGACGAGAGACTTAAGATTTTACATGAAGTTGGAGAAGTTTTGTTGACTAAATATAATGGTATAAATTCGAACATGAAAAAAAATTATAAAATTGAAACACTTTCTCGTAATCGATATAACAAAAACTCTTTTGCACGCTCAAAAAAAATTCTTTGTTTTTTAAGATATAAAATTCTCTACATAAAATATAATTAAATGCAGATTTCATGTCAATACAATTTTTATATTTATAAAAGATGTGTATATACATATATTTTACTAAAATAATATATTATTAATATTGTTATGTTATAGGCACTTTCCTAGAATGTATAAAATTATCCGATTACGATGCAGACAAACTGATGAAATTACTTTTCGACGAATTCGAGTCATATCGAGACGAAGTAATATACGATGGAAAAAAAGGTAATTATTATTAATAATATTGCAGTAAAGTTTCTGAATCATACGCATGGCGATATTAAATAATGAGTAAAATTAATGTTTTAATAAAATTAGATTTTTGATTGATTAATTAATAAAATATATTAATAAAATTATTAATTAATAAAATTTATTTAAAATTCAATGTTTGAATGCATTTCAAAGAAACTATTTCTATACCATAATATTCATAGTAAACTTATGTGACTATATTAGAGTAATACTTCAGTTAAATATTAGGTAACATCAGTGAAAATTTTCTTTTACCTTATCACACATTTTAATTCTATATATAATAATGAAATTCGGAAATATAATTTTTATAGAGTATTTGACGAACGTATTTGTTAATAGTAGTATCTTATATAATTTTAATTTTCATTATTCTAATTAACTCGATCAAGTAATTTAGCGTATTTTTATATCAATATATGTACATTAGTTTAATAATATTACTTTTATTAAATTATCTTTTAGTTCGTTTTCTTGTCAAGGCTAGATCACTGGTGTGCGATATGTGTATGTACTTTAAGAACAAACCTTCATTTAAATTAAATACATCAAATATGATGTCTACGATATTCACTGATTATTGTATTCCTCAAGTATTATTTAAGCTTGAACTTATAAGTTACAGTAAAAGGCTTGTGAAGAGATTTGCAAATAACGGTAAGATTTTTAACATTAAGTTTTTTTCTACGAGTGATAAATTTTTAATTTTCTATAACTTCTCTTACTCTACGCACTTATATTTGTAATTTAACGAAATAATATTTTTCAGTAATTTGATGAAATAATTTCTTTTAGTTTAAAGTATAAAATAGCATAACAAACATAAATATTTGACTATGCGTTGGAAAGTAAACTTGTTAATTTACTAAAATAGTTTTATTAAATTTATTGATTTGTCCAAACAAGAAATATTCGAAAATGAGATACTATTATATCAGTTTGAAATTATAAGCTACAAAGACAGACTTGTAAAGAGATTCGCAAAATGTAGTAAGATTTTTAACATTAAGTTTTTTTCTACGAGTGACAAATCTTGAATCTTTTATTAATTCTGTAACTCTACGCACTTATATTTGTAATTTGACGAAATAATATTTTTCAGTAATGTGATAAAATAGTTTTTTCAGTATAAAGCATAAAATATTATAACGAAAACAATAATCTTTTACTATATTTTATAATATTTTAAATAATTTATTGCCATTTACTTACATACTTAATTCTAAATAACTTACTTGCTAAAACAATTATCTATCTTACATAGATATTTATTGAAAATTAAAGATTTAGAATATCTAAAAAATAGTTAAATGATTTTTTCTCAACAAATATTTTTTCTTATAAGAATTATTTATAACTTATAATTTTTAAAAATTCTTAACTTATGTATAATCAGATTGTAAACTTGTTTATTTTTCTATAGAATAATTTTATTAATTTTATTGATTTGTCTAAACAAGAATTATTCAAGAATAAAATCGATAATAGAGATAGACAACTATAGCGTTTTATAGTCTTAGTAATATAAATTCTTAGTATTATAAAGATTTATAAAATTTTTAAAGCTATTTTAATTTTTATTATTATACAAAATTTAATAATTGCTTGCTCGATCATGAGAGACAATTAATCACACACACATATAGTCTTAATAATAAATTAATAAATCTTATAGTAGATAAAAACATTAAATTGCAAATATAAAACATTGTTATTAAGCTGTATATATAATGTCTATAATTTTTCAAATTAATATCCGTCTATAAAGCTTTACACACCGCATTCTGTTAACTTTATTACTATATAATTATATATGATATTTTAATTTTTGCATAAAAATTTGCATTTTTAAATGTTTTTTGTTCGAATTAATTTTGTTTCTGACATTATAAAGATTTCAGAAAGCGAGTTTAGTTATTATAATATAAAAATATTATAAAAACGGGCTGTATTTTTTTCGCAGATGAACCACTTGAGCATGGAAGCAGGGAAGAAATTGAGATACGCGGTTGTTCACTTTTCGCAGCCAAAGAAATATGCAAAGAAGTGATTAGAATAAGTCAGCGTCACGTACAAGAAAACCGTATTTTAAAGTCAAAAAAAGCATTTAACCCACAGGTTGCAGTGGATAATTTTCTTCTCAAATTTGCATTTATTATACCTAAAGTATCAGGACTGATTGAAAATGATGAATCTTTGAAACTAGACCCGCTCCATTATATTAGATCCGTGCATTATTAAAACAGTTATTATATTTTTTTACATTATTGCTGGTTTGTGAGTAACTGATCAAAGTATATAGCCACTGCTTTTGTGATAATGTTATGTTGATGTACACATAACAATATCAGTAATATAATATAAAATTCTAATGTAAGATTTTATCCTAAAAAATTATAATGCATATATGTATACATATATGTAGATTTATCTGGAAATATTGATACATATTCGAATTAAAAATTATTCTGATATATGCAAAAATAAAAGAAGTTAATTCAAAAAATTTATTTTTTTATAAATTTATTATTGTAAATTAGAAATTTAGTTTATAAAGCATATGGAGTGTGATTCCTCAATTTATTTGTTCTGCTTTTATTATTTATAACAATTAATATAAAAAATGTATTACTTTTCCTTTTCTGTCAATTTTTGGTTTTTGTATATAATTGATTATTTTCAATTGTAATAGAAGTTCTTTTACTTTTACTTTGCTTGTAAAATGTTTTATATAATTTTTTTTCGAAAAGTTTAAATTTTGAAAGTTATATGAATAAGAGAGAGATATTTCCGGAAAATTGATTAAATTATTGTAAATGTATTTTTCTCTTACTGTTTTGATGACATAACACTTTTACAAAATTTTAAATTGCATTCTTGTTTTTATGTACGTAACATATGTACAATTGATAACTATTAAACTTTATTGCTTCGCCGATAAGATAAACCTATACCATTTTAAATAGATATTTTAGAAAGAAAATAGCATAAATTAAAAGTTACAAATATAATGAATTTTAAAAGTAAAAAATTATTTTGCAATTTGTACATATAATAAAAAATATTACATATTTTTTAAGTTGTATATTTTTTAACAATAATTTCTACATTTCTCCAAAAAATTAGTACAAATATGTGCATCTAATGTATAGCGTAGTTAAAAAAATATAATCATATATATGGATCTATTCTTTGACTGCTACATTGCCTACACTTAATATGAAACATGACATAGTTTAATAAGTGTTAGGAGAAAGGTGAAATAAATAAAGTCAATTAGTCAAGTATTATATAACGTAATTAGAATAATATAATTAAAATAAAAATATAAGCATAATCGTATAACTGACAAAATTTTTATAATAAATCATAATAATAGCACATCAATGTTGTTTGTGTATAAACAAAATATTTATGTTTACGACTTTATACATCTCAAATTTATATTCGAGTTTATGTCAAATTAATCTCCCTTCGTTGATACGACAATCAAACTAAGATCAGTATAATAGAAAGCATAATCAGATACAGAATAGTGCGAAACGATTGACAAGTATAACGTGAAGTCATGGCCAAGGGTACTAGCAGTGACTATGATGTGATGGAATTTTCGGAGACGGTGTATAAGATCAGTAAAAATGCACAAGACGTTTCTGTCATCAAAGAAAGTATCCCAAATGTAGCAAAAATGGTATGTTTCGTTACAACATATGTTTAAAAAATTTTGAGGTATTTGTGACATGTTTTATATCAAGATTTGTTAATTTTTATTAAAAAAATGGAAAGATAATTTCATAATTTCGTTAGATCGTATCACGCAGCTTTTTGATACGTAAATCATCTCATTACAAATTTTTACATCGATAAAATTAGGTACAAATATAAGGAAAAATAAACAGAATATACTTAACAAATTTTATTTTGTATAGACGTTTTTAAAGGATTATATACATAAGAAAATGAAGAGAATATAAATAATGAATTACATCGAGCAAAGAGAAAAACTTTAAATAATTTACGTTATCAAATTAATTTTTCGATAAATATATTATTTACGAAAACAGTTATATGATATCCTCGTGACTTAGTTTGTTATCGTTGATTATATAAAATTGACTTTAAAAAAATTTTTACATTAAAATAGATATTTTTATTGATTCACATAGATCATGCGGTTTACATTCAACAGTTTCGAGGAACTCTATTCATACAATGACAAATTCTTACGTCATTCCTTCACATTTCCGTATGAAATTGAAGACTCGAAAAAGCGAATTGGCTATTTGTGTTGCATACATTAAATTTTTCACTCTGGTATCCAAAAGGTACTAGACAATGGAAAGTTAATGGTGAAAAGGGATATTTTGGATTATGCAATGCTATTAAACGGGCCTACGAAGTGAGTACAATGCTTTTGAGTTACATAAGTATTGCCATTAACAATATTATCAATTTTTTTATTACTAATGTTAATTCGTGTATTACAGTTTACAGTTAACATAAATTATATTAATTTTTTATTATTAAGAGTTTATGGATTTTTTAGAAATATTATTAAAAAAGTTTCTTCTTAATATCAACGTCTCTTACATTAATACATTACATTCTTCTACCTTAGTTTGTAAAAGCTCTCATATCTGTGTCCCAGGTAGCAAGCTGACGTCAAAATGACGTCATTTTGACGTTTAATTACGTCAGCTTGCTATCTGGGGTCTAGTAATTTTTTGCACTACAATAGTTTTGTGCCACAACCGTTAATTAGTTCTTTGTATATTCTATTTTAAACTCTTTTACTTGAAAAAAATTTATTTTTATTTATTTAGGCATTATATGTATATTACAATTAGCTATTTATGTAATTAGCAAAATTTTAATTATAATATTTATAAATTTATTATTATGCAACATTATTACATAGTGTATGATTGTAGAACGTCGTAATTGTAGAAGAGAGAGAGTTGCTCTATCTTTTTATAAAAAAGTTCTATGTTTATTTATTGCAATACAGTGTGTAAATGCTTCATTTGTTGTTAAATAAAAATTAGAAAGCATATCTTGCAATATATAATATAATGTATAATACATTTTTTAAAATTTGCTTATTAAAATCAAAATCTTTATGTAAGATATTTTAATTAACTAGTCAATACTGCAATTGTGCTCTATTACACAATAAGTTTGAAAGAAGAATTAATTTTTTTAAACAAACGCATTATATTTTCTTCATTTGACTGTTTTCAATACGTTGAAATTATCAGTGGTAAATTTCTATAAAAGTTATTTTTTAATATATAATACTTGTTAAAGGATAAAATACCTCTATGGGATCCTAATTATTATTGCACAAGAATGACAAGAGGTATATTTGAGTATATTTTCCGAAGTGACGATGGCAAAACTTGCATTCCGTTTATACAAATAAGACTAATGATTTTACGTGATGTCGGACGAGTTTTGTTGAATAAATATCATGGTATAAATTCTGATATTACATAAAAAAATTTATACATTTTTTGTAATCAATGTATAGCAAAACTCTTTAAGGACGTTCTCTGTTTTTTAAGAAAAGAGAAAAGAAATTCTGATTATGAATGTTTTACAATCATAAAAATGTATATTACTGAAATAATATATTATTAAAATTATTATAGGCACTTTTCTAGAATGTATCAAATCATCTGATTACGATGCAAACAAATTGATAAAATTACTTTTTGATGAATTCGTGCCATATCGAGACGAAATAATATACAATGGCAAAAATGGTAATTTATTAATATTATAATATTACAACAGAGTTTCCAGATCACAAGCATGTCAATATTAAATAATAAAAAATAATAATCAGTAAACGTGTTAATGTAATAAAATTAGAATCTTTTGATTAAATTAAATGAATAAATTTGTTTATTGTTTTAATGCATTTTATGAAAATTATTTATATGACTAATTTATCAATGTAATATCATATAAACATCTCAACAATTTTTTATCTTAATACACTTTATTTCTTTAATAATAAAATTTGTAAAATATAATTGTTATAGAGTATTTGACGAACATATATGTTAATTATGGCAATAATGTACATTATTATAATTTTTATTTTAATTTTATAATTAATTTATTCTAGTAATTTACCTTTTTGTATATTAAATATTAATTTAGTCATTTATCTTTATCATTCTATTTTTATTATTTTATAGTTCGTTTTCTTATCAAAGCAAAATTATTGGTGAGCGACATATGGGGGTATTTTGATAAAAATCTGAATTTAAACTGAATATAGAAAAGCTGATATCTACGACATTCATTGATTATCGTATTCCCCAATTATTGCTTAATATTAAACTTTTGCGCTACAGTGACGTTCTCGTGAAGAGATTTAAAAATAACAGTAAGTTTTTTTACGAATCGCAAATATCTAATTTTTAACAATCATTAATTCTTTCACAATTTAATTTTTAACTCTACTACTCATATATATATTTGTAATTTGATGAAACAGTGTTTTTTTTTCAATATAAAGCAGGAAGTACAATAATAAACACAGGAAATTTTTATTATATTTTAAAATACTAATAAAAATCATATAGTAGCTATCCTCTAAAAATTTCGAAAATTTTGGTACCGATTTTGAGAAAATTGGTCAATAAATTTGCGAGTACGTAGATGGGTGCTTAGGTGGAGGTGTAAAATTAAAAAAAATCGCCATTATCGTCATCCCCGAAAAAATTTTCAAAATTTTGGTACGAATTTCGAGAGAATCGGCCCATTAATGAGAGGGTGCGTGAATGAGTGGGTAGGGTTGTAAAAATTAAAATAAATTATTTATAGTAGCCATCCTCTAAAAATTTAGAAAATTTTATCTCATGGAAAACCTATATGTTATCTTTATGATCACGACTTTGTTAATTTCAAATTTAATCATTATATTTATAGAAATATAATATCTTTTATAGAAAATCTCTGTACGATAAGAAGATTGACGTAACAATAAACAGTAAGTCATGATTATTAATTTTGTTTGGTATTTGATTTTTTTAATCTTTAAAATCTCTTTAAAAACAATATTCCGAGTTCTATTGCTCTCATCAGGAATAAGTATTGTTTGATCTATTGCCGAATCAATCCGTGAGAAAAGACTTCATTTCGTAAGTCCAGGCCATCACTTTAAAAGTTTGCCCTTGGGACTTATTAATCGTCATGGCGAAACACATTAAAACAAGAAATTGTTGCATATTTTATCAAGATCGGTCCAGTAGTTTTTAAGTTAATAACGTTCAAATATACACCACCCGTAAGAATTTTATATATTAGTATAGAGTGCATAAAAGTTTGCATTTAGAAAATTTTAAATTTGATTTTATTCGGATAAAGCGAGTTTAGAATGCGTTTTCAGTGATTATCGTATTAAAAAAAAACGTTGCATTTTTTTCCGCAGATAAACCACTTCAGTATGGAAGCAGGGAAGAAATTGAAATACGCGGTTGCTCACTTTTCGTTATCCAAGAAATATACAAGGAAGTACAAAGAGTAAGCCAGCAGTACATATCAACAAAACCTATTCTAAGGACAAAAGAGTTTAACATATCGGTTGTGGTCCATAATTTCTTGTTCGCACTTCTAGTTGCTAGAATTAAAGATAAATCTTTGAATCAATATCCATTTTATTATATCAGAACTATGTTTTATTAAATTATAATATTTTATCATATTTTTGTTAGTTTGCGAATAACTGATCAAATCACTGAGAAAAATGTTCTTTCGATCGGATCTAAATCTATCCGATAGAGTAATATCCGATAGAGTAATATCCGATGAAATATATTTTCCGATGAAATGTAAACGGAAAATGGTCGTCACTTATTTATCCGTTCAAATTAATATACAACTTGATCGGACATTGCACTTGAACGGATAAACTTAGAATATTTTATCCGATCAAAGTCAATATCCGATCTAATATATTATATCCGATCAAAAATATATCCGATGAAATACAGTAATCGATTAAATACAATAAGATTTATCCGATTAAATGTTCATCGGATCTTTCCGATTAGATATTTTCTAATGGGATATTTCTGATCGAATGTTTTTTAAGCGGAATTTTCTGATCGGTTATTTTAGTTTTTTTTTTTTTTTTTTTTTCGATTAAAAAAATCGGTAATAATTGACGCAGAACTTACCCGTTTCTAACATCATTCGCGAATCGTTCTAGGCTTGAGATCTGCAACGATCGCGTCGTGTTACGAATTCGGTATAAATTCGTATAATCTTCGTATTAAAAGAAAGCTCTGTGCTGTGTTGTGCGAGTGAAGTGTTCTCTTTTTCCTTTTTAAGTTGTATTAATAAATACAAGTAATAGTAAAATGAGTGATTACATAATCCATGAGATATAGCGAGTACACATCTCATAGTTACAGAAAATTATCTCCGTTGCAGACAATATAATTATTCATTTTATTAATATTTATATTTATTAATATAACTGCAAAAAAAGAAAATACTTCTCTCGCGTAACACAACACAATTAATAGAAAATTTCCGATCAAGACTAAAGATCTATTGATCGGATATGATGCGATCGGATTATTCGTTCAAAAAGTAACGAACGGATATTTCCGATTAGATATTTTCTGATTGAAATATAATCCGTTAATTATTTTAATTTTGATCGGTTTCCTTTTCCGATTAAAGTGATCGGTAATATCCGTTTGTTAATTTTTGATCGAATTATCCGATCATTTTAATCGGAAAAAACATGGATTTTTCTTTCAATAATGTACAATATTAATCATTGCTTTTGTAATAATGTTATACACAGATGTACACATAATTGCTGTAATATAATATAAAATTATAATGTAATGTTTATTCTTAATAATGATGATGATGCTATTGATTCTTATTTTATAGATTGATATAGATATTTAAAATAGGAACGATATATTAACTTCGACCCAAACTAGCCAAGAAAATTTTTATTTTATTTCTACAACGTTTCGACCATCTGTTTTTGGTCCTTTTTAAGTGAGACATTTTTTAATAAAAGCGCAATTAGTTGACACTGTTGTCATTATTATCATATTAAACAATATGATTATCGGAATTTTTTAAAAACATTTGTTTTTGACGATCCATCATAACGATAAGATGCGATTACTTTCTTTCAAAAGCTCTTTCAAAAGTTTTTTCAAATGTTTTTAAAAAATTCCAATAATCATATTGTTTAATAATGACAACAGTGTCAACTAATTGCGCTTTTATTAAATTTCTCACTTAAAAAGGACCAAAAACAGATAGTCGAAACGTTGTGGAAATAAAATCAAAATTTTCTTGGCTAGTTTGGGTCGAAGTTAATATATCGTTCCTATTTTAAATATCACTAGCGACGTTTTAAGTATTCAATTTGATAGATATTTAAATCTAAAAATATATATTCTCATTCTTATCATTTTAAAACATTTATAGTTTTATTGAATTTAATATTAATATGTATTCGAAAATTATTGATATATGCAAAAATAAAAGAAATTGAACAAATCTATTTTTTTACAAATTTAGTGTATACACATCAGAAATTTATTATGTGATATTTATACGGTAATTCTTCAATTAATTTGCTGTGTATTTATCACTTAAATTGTAACAACAAATAAAAATCAAAAATGCAATTTATTTTGCAAATTTTATTTAAATTTTTTGTTTCAGTATAACTGATTATTTTAAATTAAAATTTAATTATAATTATTTTTAAATATAATAATTTTTTTTATTTTATTTGCTTGTTATGGTATATTACATTCATTTCGATAGTTTAAATTTTGAAAGTTAAATGAGCAAGGAAGACATATTATTTTTTAATATTTATTAAGTTAATGTAGTTATAGTTTTTTCTTATTTTTTTGCAAGCATAAAATTTATACTTGCATTTTCGTATATAATAATATAAAATTTTAATCAATTGTCGTTTGTATTCTATCTTTATATATAGCACCGTCTGTCTGTATGTATGTACGCGAACTACTTCCGCATTTGTGGACCGATTTTCGTGAAACTGGTACCAAAATGTCGCAAATTTTTCGGGGGTGGCTGCTGTGGGGTGTTTTTTTAATTTTTTATTTTTTTTTTTTTTTCTACAGAGGAGGGTATGTTTATTAATCTTTTTTTGCAATATTTCTGAACACATGGTATCAAAATGTTGCAAATTTTTTGGAGATAACGACGATGCGGTTTTTTTAAGTGTTACACCTCCACCCACGCACCCACCCACGCATCCACCCACGCGCATGCGCATTTATGGACCAATTTTAACGAAATTAGTACCAAATGTTGCAAATTTTTTGAGAAAACTACTGGTTTATTTATTTAAGTTTACCCCTCCACCCACGCACCCACCCACGCAATCGTATATTTATGAACCGATTTTTTTTAAATTGGTACTAAATGTTGCAATTTTTATGAGAAAGCTGTTGTGTGGTTTTTTAAAGTTTTATCCCACCCACGCATCCACCCACGCATTCACACATTTATTCACAGACTTTTTCGAAATTTGTATTCAAATTTTGTTGGGGATGGCTACTATGATTTTAACAAATTTTTATCATCCTATTCATCCACCCACGCACCCATGTGCATACGCATTTATTGACTTGGTCACACCAAGAAGTAATTTTTAAAAAATTTGTGTACGTGTTTGTGATTATGTGTGCAATTCGTGTAAATAAACCTTTAATTTGTATGCCTTGACCATAGTAACATTTAAATTCAATATTCTTATCTTATACATACATTTCCTTCAACTTTTTTAAAATCAATGTGAATATAATACTGCTTAACCAAGATGTCTAAAGAGAGCAGCGAAAATGCATGCAGTTCAAATCAGCATAATGTAAGTAGATTTTAATTTTAGAGAGAGAGATAGAGACAGAGAAAAAGGGAGAGTGAGAGAGAAAGAGAGAGAGAGAGAGGTCTTAAAGAAAGAGAGAGGGAGAGAGGGAGGGAGAGAGAGAGAGAGAGAAAGAGAGAGAGCGTGCTTAAAGAAAGAGGAAGGAGAGAAATAAGGAGAGAGAGCATGTGTCTTAAAGAGAGAGAGAGAAAGGCGCGTGGTCTGAGAGAGAGAGAGAGAGAGAGAGGAGAGAGAGAGAAAGAGTGTGGTCTTAAGAAAGAGAGGGGGAGAGAGAGAGAGAGAGAGGGAGAGGGGGAGAGAGAGAGAGAGAGAGAGTGGTCTCAAAGAAGAAAGAGAAAGAGAGAGAGCGTGTGTGTCTTAAAGAAAGAGAGGAAGAGAGCGGGAGGGGGAGAGGGGAGAGAGGAGAGAGAGAGAGAGAGAGAAAGAGAGAGAGGGATTAATTTAATAG